CTTGTCAAGACGTAGCTTACTGAAAGCAAGCAATATTACAGTTTCCTTTAAAATGCTACTCAAAGTTTTAGTCAAGATTGTAGAAGATAAAGAGCTGCCCAATGATTTCCCAATTTTGACTTCTACAAACTCCCATAAATATATCTAAGTAATAATTTGTTGTCAAAATGAATGTTTCCAACCCTTCAGCTCTGGTTTCATTTAAGCAATCCAATATAAAGGCATCTAATATCCTTCCTAATCATAAAGAGAGCTCAAAATTCCCAAAGCTCCTAATTAAGGTCTTGGTTTGGAAATGCAGCCTAATGAATCTACAGACTCAATACTTGCTGCCCTAATTCATATGAGTTGACATAGGCTTGATAACAGACACCTGTATCTATAATATTGTTTATTATAATTTCACTGTTATGCTGTTTTTAAAAAATGAAGTTCAACTCACTTTTCTAACCATGTCAAAAAAGCTCACAATATAAGTAAATTATAGTCCAACTTTGGCAAATTTGTAAATAATCAAAGCCTTCATGACACCTAAAAAGATTGCAATGAAAAAATTGTATAGTCATTTTCTCCTATGGTAAGGGTTTAAAGTATGCCCCCACTCCCCAATTTATATATTAAAATCCTAACCCCCATGACCTCAAAATGTATTTGGAGATAGAGACTTCAAAGAGCTCATTAAAGTCATTAGGGAAAGCCCTAATCCAACAGGTCTGGTATTCTTAGAAGAAGATGCAATTAGGACACTGACATGCATGGGAAAGACCATTGAAGTCAGAGAGAAGAAAACCTCCATCTCAGACTTCCAACCTCCAGAGCTGTGAGGAAATGCATTTCCGTTGTTTAAGCTTCCCGGTCTGTGGTACATTATCATGGCAGCCCCAGCACACTCATACAGCCTTCTTGTCAAACACACCTTTGTCACTGAGGCTGACAGTGCCTCATGCCAGTTTCAGTTTTATGGGAAATGGCCTAAAGGTCTTTGGCAAAGCTCCTTTCTACATAAATACAGTGCCATTTCTGAATTATGGAATAGTTGCAAAACATTATCATATACTCATTTCTTAAAAACTTATTTACATGCTAACTACAACATTGCTTTTTATTGGGAAATTTTCTATTTTCTTTCCATATGTAAAAAATAAATTTAAAAAGTCCTTTAGAGTTCAACACAGCTGCCTGTATTTTTAAAAAAATCATTGCCAAGATGAAATATTCTGAATAAAATTCATTGAATTTTGAAAATATTTTGATAGGCACTAAATTCTAATATATAGCAAAGGGAAACACTCTTTTGGAATTCAAACATAAAGTTATTATCTTTTTCCAAAATCTACATGACTAACTCATAAAATTTAGCTCTTAATTTAAATTGTATTATATACATGGTGAAACCATAACGCTTTACATTGAAGAGAAACATTTCAGGTTGCCTGCAAAAATCGAGGTACAGATAAAAATATTATTGAAAATGGGGAATAAGAAGATTTCAGGTTAATTTTCATCCCATGGAGTGTTTTCTCTGTTGATCAATGAAAAAGGCAAACACCATAAACTAATAGATGCATTGAGTAAATTAGTTCTAGAATCCTAAAGCTTGGGGGCGGGGGGAACAACACCTCATCTGAATAAAGTGTTTGTTTGTTTTGCCTTTAAGAAGAGTAATACAGTTGAGCATTTCATGGGGCCAATTACATAGCAATTGTCCCACAGGGACTACGTTCAAAAATTTCACATTTTCTGTACTCTTGGCTAGTGTCCCTCAGAGGAGTGCAGATTAAATTCTTAAACTAACCATCCCTTCCTCTATAAATTAAACCAAATTCCAGTTTGGGTATCATATTCAAACATTCAAGAATTTTGTTCATGAAACAGCTTCCAAAACTGCAGAGTAAAGTTCTCCCAAGTGCTACCTCAAAAAATATACACAAGTAGCATGGAGCTATCATTAGGCATCCTTAGAGAAACTATCCTTACGAGAAGGTGTCTTGCCGGCAGAGGAAAGCTAACGGGTATTTATGGTGTCTGAAGGTGCTTAGAACCCATGTGAGCATCGCCCACGGCAATCCCAAAGACTTGAAAGATTTTCCAAATGCTGATATTAAAGGGAGGGAGAGAAAGAAAACAACCACCCCCAGCTCTTAATCTTGAACATCCTGCTAGGCATTACAACCTGATGTTTTTTATTTCTACTCTATTTCACGTCTAACAGCCTTCTAGAAATCAGCAGCTTACAGGGGAATGGTTAAGAGCATGGACTCCAGAGCCCGTCTTCCCCAGATTCATCTCTGGCTCTGCTACTTACTAGGTAGGTGACCTTGGACAAGTCATCGACCCTCTCTGTACCTCAGTTTCCCCTCCCAAATGGAGATCATCCCAGAACCATCTCAGAGGACCGCTGTGGTAAAGGAGTCTCTCCATGGGACACCTTAGCGCAGTGCTTGAAGGTTTGGTGTCACCTGTTGGTTGTGGCGGTGACAGAGCAATTCGGAAGCCAATCACAACCAGAGCGCGAGGAGCTGAGTGAAACGCCTGGCAAGGCTGTGGTTGAACAAACCGATGAAAATTCCAGTCTAGGTGACAGCTAAACACACTTGAGAATTTTATGTACAGACAACTTTTCCATCTAGCTTATCCTGTTCCAGAAATTCACGTCTCCACTGATCTGAGCTGTCATGTGCAGCAAGTGAGGGACCAAACATCAGGCGTCGCCTGAGGACAGCTGACCGCAGGGCCGGTCTACAGGTGAGCTCCTTAGTCCGGCGATAATCAGATCACGCTTAAATGCACATGTAACAAAACACTGGCAGGAATGTGAGAGACGGGATTTTGTTAGCCTGAACATGGTAAGCTCCGGGCCCTCACCAGTGGGGATCGCTCACCCAAAGACTCAGCAGCCAGGGGTGAGAACAGGGACGGTGGCACTGCCCTGTCCTTGATGCCGGCACAGGTCTGTCCCCTCCACTGGAAAACCCTGGCCCGCTTCCCCCCCCCCCCCCCCCCCCAGGACAATGCAGGGAGAGCACTGCAGGGTGGCGAGAGACCAACATCAGGGGATAATTTTGTGTTACTTTCAATTATATGAGCTGTGAAGGCTCTGGTGAGGTTCGAACAATTTTATCTGGCCCTGACAAGCCTCTGAAGAATATATATCCAATTTTTATTCCACTTCCCTATCACCTCCTTATCTCTGACTTTCTTTTCTCTGCTCCAGGAACTGCTTATCACACTTAAGTAAACAAACATAAATAGGGGTTTTTCAACTAGTTGCAAAACTCCCGGCCCTTAACAGCACACCCTGCATTTCTGATCTAATCCCTGCTTTCACACACCGGCATTTCCCCGAGAGAGATTTAGGCCAAAGTTGATTCTTCTCCTCTGTCAATGGCCTGAGTGTCCTTGGCCCTAACACTGGGACACACAATATCTGAAGCATAAGTGCTTTTTCTCAGCATTTCCCTCGGCTACGTCTGATTCCGAGCCTGTGGAGGCCTGGTTTTGTGCATAATCACTGTTTATTTCCTTAGTACATTTTCTGTCTCCTGCAAGTGTGCTGCCAAATGTTTAAAGCTTTCTAGTTTGAAGCAGCACAAGCCATAGAAAAAGATAGGAGATACACACAAAGCATGAGAGAAAGTCCTCTTTTAAACAAAAGCTGAATGTGGTTTAACTCAAACCGAGTTTTTTAATTCTGCCACAGCCAGTATGCAAAACCCCACCGACAAAAACTTCGGGGGCCCCGGAACTAGCAAGTTAATGAGTCAAAGCAGCAAAGCAGCATGGACCTAGAAAAGGGCTTCTGCAGTGTGGCCACCATCCTCCTCACGCTACAAAGCAATACATTAAAGTGGTTACGTTTTATAAGTTCTTCCTGACTCTTCATTTTATTTAGTCCCGATGAATATTCCATTGTATGTTTTTTTATTTAAAAAATATTTGAAGTGACGTTTTAAAGCAATATTTAACTCTCTCCTAGATGCTGGCAAGAAATAAGAATGTCTTTTGCAGCGACTATAAAAAATGATCCACTACTACAAATCAACCGCTTTTGGATTAATAATAATAATTCGAAGAAGCTTTAAAACCTCCCAGTGCTGAAGAAGCTATCCTACTGACAAACTAAGAGCCTGTATCAAGCATGGAAACAAGCCTGTGCCCCGTTCTGAAGATCTCTCCACCGCTGCTTGTTTTATGTTTCTGAAACATTTTGCTGTCAGTGATTTCGTTCCCATCCATGTGGCCAGCCATTTGTTTATTCTAGTGCGTGCCATCTGTTTTTTGGTAGAGAGGTTTCAAGTTCTTCTCATTCCCTACCTCATACCCCACGGAAAACAATTTATAACACACTTAGATTTAAATCTTTCGGGTTCATGTGGAGCTGGTAACTTGAGCTGCCTTTCACTGATATTTGGCAAAGGCTTTAATGGGATTAGCAAATTGTGTTATTACGAGGTACTTATGGAGACACACCACCTTTTTTTTTTTTTTTACAATGACAAATGGTGTTACCAGTTTCATGTTGGACATTTAATAGCAATACAGGTTTCACTAACATTACAGGAAATTGCCCTGATAGACAATAAAGTCCTACCACAAACTCTGTCCTTATCTTTTATTTCTGAGAGTCAACAAGTATGTGTATCTGTATGCGATAGGATCTACAGTGAGGAAAAGATATCAAGTTGCTTCACTTTTAAGAGAAAGAGAAAGCTATCATTTAACCCACAGGCCTGAAAACCCTGCCTGGTCCTAGCATCTTGCTGGCCTCCTGTAAGCCCTCTACACATGGTCTAGCTGGTCTTGTCACTCACAAGGGGTGGCAGTCCCCAGACTTCCCCAAAAAGAAGTTTATGCCGCAAACTCCAGCTCATCCGCACCGATTCATCCCCATTCTAGGCCCCCCCCCCTTTCATTTGCTCTAAAAAAAAAAAAAGAGCCAACCATCAAGAGGCACAGCTTCTTGTTGAAACTACACAGATGATGCTTAAAGGGTTAATTACCATTTTGACAAGCATCCTCGCTGCTTTGGTGGTGCGGGGCTGGCGGATGACAGGACTCAGCGGCTGTCCATAGTTCATGGTTTTCTCCCGTGGGCTGAGAAACATCTGTCTGGAGGTCTACCTGATTTTCACTAGTCCTTTCCGAGTCAGAGTTAGATATACTGGGGGGGTAAGCGGCGTCCTGGCGGGTGGCTGGTGGAGTCGGTTGGTCGGAAGTGTTAAATGACATTTGACCTAAAGCATCATTGATGAAGAGTGAATTTTCATCATGTAAACTCTCAGATCGATTAAGCTCCATTACCTGTGTAAAGAAATAAAGAGAAAAACAACCAATAATTTCTCCAGGCATTTGAACACGTTTTATAAAGTATTTATTCCTAATAGAATTTAGCAGTCAACATTTTAATAAGAGGGAATCAAGAAGAACATTATCCTTGGCTCCTTCCTTCCAGCCCTTCCTTAATGAACTAGTACCAAAAACTTCAATTCACTAGGCCTAGCATATCTTTAAAAAAAACAAAACAGATGACAACAACAACAACAACAGCAACAACAAAACCCAGCCCAGGCCTGCTGGCTTCGTTGGTTGGAGCATCACTCTGTACACCTAAAGGTTGCTGGGTTTGATTCCAGGTCAGGGCATATACCTGGGTTGTGGGTTCCATCTCCAGTCAGGCTGCACATGGGGGTCAACGGCTTATTGTTTCTCTCTCACATCAATGTTTCTCTCTTTTCCTCTCCCCCCTCTCTCTCAAATCAGTAAGATGGGGCTTTAAACACACACACACAAGCAGTAGAGCTCTCTGCCATTCAAATGTTTCCACTTTATTTTAAGAGAGAGCAGCATTTTATTTAACTCTTGTTAAATAAAAGAGCTGAAAACATATTCATGCACACATGTATTTGCAATAAATGTAATTTAGCCTACTTGAAAGGAAGGTCGGATACAGCAGACCTCTCTCATAAGCGTATCAACTTTTACAGCACTGCATACTATCAGTTAAAAAAAAAAAAACACACACATAGATTTGCACATAGCACAGAAAAGCAAACTCCAGGGACAAATGGAACTGCCAAGCATGGTTAGAGAGGGTGCAATTGGAACACAGAATCTTCAGGAAGGCTGTATTCTGCCCAGTCATCAGCTAGTAGACTCCTGTTAACCATCATGAGTGAAAGGGGTTTTGAGTGGACTAGGTCAACATGACAAAAGCGCAGAAGCATGGGATCACAGGATAGTGTCATCCTTGCTAAATTCAGGACCTCTACTGCGCATTAACAGCTAACTGATCCACTAACAGGTAAGCCTGCATACAAGGCTAAGACCAGACCCTATGAAGAGCGGCCTCCCGCTACGGAAATCAGCATGCTCAAGGTGGGGTGCCTCCAGGACAAACTTCTCCTGCTGGGACAGCGCGATTCTGCGTTCATTCCCTTGGGGAAGGGCGCCTCCATCTGCAATGAGCCCATGAGCCCACAGGACCAAGGCCTTTCCTTCCCATTCCCATATGTCACACCAAGACGCATGTGCACTGTCTGGGGAAGTTCCCAGCTCCTGCATGTGGAATCACTCCCATGAGCGCTCACACAAGAAGCAAAGAGACGGGAGGGCGAGTGAGCCTGCCCCTGACCGGCTGCCCTCCACACCGCCTTGGCGAGCCCTGAAGATCCATCCTTACCTCCGCGTTTCCCGGAGGAGAGAAGGCCGCAGGCAGGCTGCTCTGCCGGCTGTGCTTCCAGCCGCACAGCAGGCTCTGCTGGGCGCGCATCCGGCCCCTTTCCCGCTCCACCAGGCGCTGGCCTGCCCTCAGCTGCTCCAGGTTCTGCAGGTACTCCTGCAGCTGCAGGTCCAGCTCCCCACGGCTCCTACGCAGCTGCTCCTCCTGCGACTGGCACTCCCGCTCGCGCTCCTGCAGCCAGCTCTCCCTGGCCTCCTGCTCGCGCCGCTGCTGGTCCCACCTGCGCTGCCAGCGCCGCTGGTCCTGCTGGAACTGGCGCTGGAGCTTGGGGATGTCCGCCAGCTCCTCCCGCCGCTTCTCCAAGCCACGCTGCTTGTCCGGGTCCTGGAAGGGGCTGCCTCGGAAAGGGAGGCCCGGGGATGGGCTGTCCTGCGGCTGGAGGAGCAGCCTGTGTATCTCGATGTGGCTGTCCTGGATGGTCAAGGCAGCCTGTGGGCAGAGAGGGAGAGGGAAGGCTGCCATGGTGTCTGCTCTTGGGTTGAAACTACCTCCCAACACAAAAGGCAGGACCCAATTTTGCTCTCTTGCTATCTCTGTCCCTTGGCTCGGTGACCTCCAGAGTTCAGCCTTGGCACTCAGATGGGCTCGTCTACACCTCCCAGGGGCAGGACCTGGGACTTTACACACCAAAGAACAGAGCACGGAAGCAACAGGCACCCCTGCCTCCAGAAGTGGGCTTTGTTGCTGGCTCTTGGATAATATTTCTGAATGAGAACTCAGTGCATAAATTTACACGACTCTGCATTCCTGTTCTGAATCTCACACGCTCTCAGAATTCATGAGAAGTTAAGAATCTACAATATATAAACCCGGTAGTATCTTTTACTTGAGTCTCAAGCCAGAAGTTACTTAAGCTACATAAAAATGAAGATATAAAAATAAAATTCGACCACTTGTAGACTTTTGGTAAATAACCTTTTTATAGTATAACTAGAGGCCCGGTGCACGAAATTCATGCATGGGGAGGGGTGTCCCTCAGGCCAGCCTGCACCCTCTCCAATCTAGGACCCCTCTCACAATCTAGGACTGCTGGGTCCCAACCGCTTGCCTGCATGCCTGCCTGATTGCCCCTAACCACTTCTGCCTGCAAGCTTAATCACCTCATAACCACTCCCCTGCCAGTTTGATCAATGCCTAACTGCTTCCCTGCCAGCCGATTGCCCCTAACTGCCCTCCCCTGCTGGCCTGGTCACCCTTAACTGCCCTCCCCTACAGACCTGCTTCCCCGCCCCCCCAACTTCCTTCCCTTGCAGGCTTAGTCACCCCCAACTGCCCTCCTCTGCCAACTTGGTTAGCCCTATCTGCCCTCCCCGGCAGGCCTGAATGCCCACAACTGCCCTACCTTGCTGGCCATCTTTGACGACATGGGGGGGGGGGGCCATCTTGTGTGTTGGAGTATTGGTCATTTGCATATCACTCTTTTATTAGATAGGATGCCCAGGAATAGCAGTTGATAGAGTATGTAGGTGGTAAAGATAGTCTCATTACTGTTATTTCTTTATATGATAGCAGGAAGGCCATGGTTTAAGCTGAAATTCATTTGTTAGCAGTTGCTAACAGGAAGCTGGAATGGTTAAGGAAACATAGATACTCTAAAGCCCAGAGGATATTACCAACTAGATTAAAAAAACATCTTGAGTTACCGTATCTGCCTGTGAAAACTTTGGCCACATCACAGGAAGTAACTGCCGAGATTTGGAAGGATTCCACAGGAGAAAAAAAATATCCGTGAATACCCTTGGAAGCTTTTAATTTTAAAAGTTCCCACTTAAAGTGCAAAGAGGCACAGAGGGGACTAATTGGAAATGGCCACATACTGGGTAGGTGTGTGTGTTTTGACTCGTTATGAGAAATTATTACTCTTTTAGGGATACGTTCACATTTCTCTTTCCTAAGAATTTTTAAAACTGTCCATGTAACAGATGCTGGGAAGATGGGGATTTGACCATTAGTTCTTTGTTAGATCAGCAGTTTCCCATACTTTTGAAAGTTAAAGGAGTAAGGTAGATTTTAAATTGGTACTTATTTTGGAATAAGATTCAAAAAAATGTATTCACTGGAAACTTTTGAAGTAAAATTCATGGTTTTACATTTGAAAAGAATTCTTAAAATTTCAAATTCACACCAACCTTTGATTCATGTTCTTTAGAAGTTATTACCAAGAGAACAACGATCACTGAGAATAGGTACTGGTTACTCTGATCATTAAGTATCAGGTAATGAGCCACTCAGGACTCTGAGGACCTGTTGGAAAAACTGTAGCCTGTACATCACCATTTAATTCTAACAAATCTCAGGCATCGGTATAGTGAAACAAACAAAAATCCAATATTTTGCATGTCAAAACAACCATAAGCAAAGATAACTCTCATGTAAGGGCTGCAATTAGATTAAGTGCTACCTACCATGAAGTATTCCTCACATCTACTTACATTTCAGATAGGAACATTTTCTTCTTAGCAGAGAGGTAGAATTTGAAGATTGGATTGCATTCATTTTTACACTTAACGTTGACATTGATAATTAGGACAGAGAATAGCACTTGCTTTTCAACTTTAGGGAAAATTCCCAGTTTGCTTCTCCTAACTTCTTTTTCCTGGAGTGATTCTGTGGCCTTTCCTTCCTGCTTTGCCAATACCTCATCTAACTCCGCTCTCCTAATACAAGCATCAAACTTCATTCTCATGCGATCCAAAAATGTTTATGTAAAAACTTCAAGCATGCATAAGAAACTCAGCTTCACAAGAGATGTCTGTGCCACGAACAGGAATTTCTCAGAGCCTGTATCCTGAGACCAGCTCAAAAGCTTTCGTTAGGAGAATCCCATGTGGCTTCAGCCTAATGAGTGGCAAAGATTAGGCCATTTAGGTCACCTGGCTCTTCTGAACCTTGAACCCACAGAGGGCTGGCTGCATTCAAAGTTGAAAAGAAGAGATATGACTTTGTGTTTTCATCAGGCAACACACACCAGGATACTCAATGTTCCTATCTCCCCAAAGTTAATGAGGATATATACTCTGACTATATCCCCTCTCAGTTAATATGGAGAAGAAAGAATATTTGTTTTCCATGATAAATGCAATCTCTAAGAACTTCTACCCCAAACCAGCCTATCTAATGTAAGACAGTAAAGGCAGTTCCACTAAATCTGAAACAAGACGAGGATGCTTACTATTACCACTATTACCTAATACAGTTTCAGAAGTTCAATCTAGCCAAAGCAGCAAGCCAGGAAAGTAAAAACTGATATAATTATTGAAAAATAGCCATAATAACATTACTTTCAAATTTTTACTTTCTATCTGGAATATTCCAAAGAATAAACAGAAAAACTATTAAAATATAAGATTCAATGAGTGGCCAGTTACAAAATAAAAATATAAAAATCAAGACCCTTATCAGCAACCACCACTGGGGAAGCATAAAATATATATATATTCCTTTCACAATAAGGACAATGAGACAAACATCTAGAAATCAACTTAGCAGAAAAACAAACAAACAATACCTACACGAAGATAATCTCAAAGCTTCCAAGCAGAGCATGAAATAAGAGATGACTAACATGTTCAAAGACATGAGGACTAATCATTGCAAAATTGCCAATTCTCCACAATTGAATTCATAAATACAGGGTGGGACAAAGGTAGGTTTGTATGGAAAATAATCCAAGAATGAATAAATAATAATACAAGAATAAACTCTGTTTTGAGTACTCAGAACGGTAAACCTACTTTTGCCCCACCCTGTATAATGAGATTTTAATTAAACAGTCTCAGTAGAAAGGAAAAAACTTGTTAGTCATTCAAAAACTCTTTATGAAAAAACATACAGATAAGCATAGAAAGAAATAGGAGGAAACTGGCACTGTCATATATGTAAATGTAATCCAAAACTTGAATAATTAAGACAGTGGCACAGAGTAAGAATCGGTAGATGATCAATGGAACATGAGAGAAAAAAAAGTCTTGATGCAGTTGAAGTACAAATAAGAAAAAGTCAAAGGTAGCATGACTTTATTTTTGTTTTCTGGTGAAAACTTAAAATCAGACAATTTTATTTTATTTTCATATTCAACAGCTATAAGATAGGAAGTATGACTGGTAATAAAATCAGTAGGAAAAATGTTTAATCTTAAGAGTCATCCAAACAAGTTAAATTAAGATAATCTGATACGTTGACCAATTTTCAAATCGAGAAGTAGAGAGGGGTATCAATTAATTACTTTGACAAAGTCTATTAAAGAACTAAAAAAAATGTTCCAGTAATTTCCCTAAGGAAACACTCAGATATCTTCAAAAAAAAAAAAATTGGTGTGTAAGGATAATGCTAGAGTGTTATTAATACAAAAGTATTAATTATAAGGAACTAGGAAAATAGCTTTAATAGACTGAGAACATTATGTAACCATAAAAACTGCTATAGAATAACCACTGATGACACAGAAAAGTACATGTCCCAAGACTCTGTGTGAAATGATTCTAAGAAACAGGAGAGAGACACACCAGCATGACATTAGTAATTCTCCCCGTAGAATCACAAGTTATCTTATTTGTATTCTCCAAATTATTCTACAAATTTATGTACAATACAACCATTGCTTTTATGTCATTCTAAAATATTTTTAATTCACAAATTAAGCAATGAGATGCATTCAGCCTTTCTTGTGTGTGCCCTAAGAGACCATCCAAACCTACAATCCTAAATGCAGCAGGATGCTATGTCTGTCCTTCCTGGTCAGACGGCACATCACTGGACAGCAGGCTCAGTGGTCCTTCTGCCTTCGTGTGCCAGCACAGCGAGAGCACTCTGTACGTGTTGGGTGGATGAACAAATCAAAGAACGAGCAGCATGTGGATTATTTAACTGCTCTCAAGGCCTAAGGCCAACATGTGGAAGTGAAAAATGTTTAGGTGTGAATTTAAGTTTTCAGCAGAAAATGGGAAGCCTGCTACACTCACCTAAGAGTTTCACTGTAGACTTCAAGCCGGGTCATATTCATCCGTATTTTTTTTTTTAAGATATGAACTGTTTTATGGTTTCAGAAGAGAATGATATAAAAATGTAGCAGTGGTGCTGCCCCGTGATGACAAAACCAGGTGAAGTTCAGCACACCTCGCTGAGTTACCTCGGGGGTTGGCACTCCTGTAAGATCACTCACTACCTCACAAATGCTCTGGTTTTTAACGCCTGGGAGTCATCAAATAAAGCGACGTGCATGGATAGAAACATTCACAGGGTCAAACATTAGAGGAGCGTAGTTACCTGCAGGCTGTACAAGAGACGGGTTAAATTCTGTATCGCTTGTATAATCTGAAAAATAAGATCCTAAGTGTCAAATTCTGGAAAAGGCATTGATACCCACAAAAGAAGAGAGGATGGCGGTGTGTTTAAGGTATGCACAACTCACCTCAGACTGGGAGGAACCTGGAAAACTTCTATTATCCTCCTAAAATATACAAAAGCATAAGAAAATGAATAATCACTCCGCTTTGGAAAAGCTGCTCTGCAGTGTTCCCAAATGTATGGCCGCGGGTAAATCACTCCACTCTCTCTGAGCTCTTCTGTGGTGACTCCCTCTCCCCCCAGAAATCAAAGCCTAGAGAACTAACAATCGCGTCATGAAAGCCCCCTCTGCGCAAGCTTGGTCTTTGAGAGGCAAGCCATCCTTCTGCCCAACCATTCCCTAAGACTACGAGGGCTGATGGCCAGGAAACACTGCACAGGCCAGGTAAGAGACAAGCTGTGCCTGCACACACCACTGTGGATCCAGCTCTCCTGTGCCTGAGGGAAGCTGTCTCCCAGACCAAACTGGCCCCTAGCATCCCGGATCCAGATGTGGAAGCTGGAGAGCATCATGGCCTGGTCTCTAGCTGCCTGTCTCAATGTCTGAGATTCACAGAGCCATGAGTGGGCAGAAGGAACCAGACCCGGAGATGGCTCAAGGGAGAGCAGTTAGCTGACCTGCTCCAGATCCTGGGGAACCTCCATGCTGGCCTCAATAGAACCACTACAGCAGAGGCCATACATGGCACAACAGGGGACCATCTGCCCTGGGGGATGGGGTCTCTCTACTCACACATGAAGGGCACACATGGGTAAGGAGGGTTTCTGGTTTCCAGAATTGAATGGAACATTTGTCTATTCGTTTATTGTCTGTCTTTTCTCACTAGAAGGTCAGGCAATGAATAGCAAGGTTTCACCTGTGTATTCAATGCTATATCCACATACCTGCCTGGTAGGAAAAGGACACTCACTCCATTCTATAAATAGATTTGGACACCCAGTAGGTAGTCACACTTTATGTTATGAAAGGTCATCAGATTCCTGCTCGCCAAGAGCCTACAGTCTCCCATTGCTCTTGTCGGAGCAGCTTTAAGCTGAAACTACAAGAAACAGTCAGCTGTTGGTGCTCAGGTAAGGTTGGGCTTGTTAAATTCAATAGTTCAGGCAGGTGATGCCCTGATGACCTAGCCAGACCTCTTCCCTCACAGCCAGTTAAAGATGTCGTCATTCACCAGCACCTCTGACAGGGGGAGGCCAAAGGACGGAGAAGGGGCTGAAGCTTAGTCAGGAGATCTGGTCCCAACCCTCTGGGAGATAACGGGCTAAGAACTGCCCTTCTGTAGTGAGTTTTGGAATTCTCTCTGCATTCCTGGTTCTGTCCTTGCTCCACGCTCCATGGTTTTTGTAATGAAAGGATAGCTTGATATACAGTTTTTATATTCTATAAAAATTAGAAACATAGGAATGAGTTATGCAACTTGTGGTCACTTATTTCCAAGAACCACGCGAGGTTTGATACAAGATGGGATTGTGTAACATAATCTTTTTAATGGAGTTGGTGCGCCACCTTCTGATCAATGTGCAGAGCTGCAGGTGGTGATTCACAAGATATTTTGTAATGTTTAAAAATTCTTTCAGAAAAAAAATTTTTTTTAAACCTTACCTAATTAAGGTCTCTAATTATAAAATAGACATTGTACATTTTTTCAAGTTTGATTTTAAGTGATCCATCCTCGTCAGCTCATTTAGTTTATCAAAATACCTTATTAATGGCAAATTTTCCAGATAAGTTTATGCAAAGAGGAATCTAGACCCTTCATCTCACTTACCTGTTACTGAAACATGGAAGGAAAAGACTTTAAGGGTGGGATCCAGCCACCACAGCTTTCTGTCACGAGAAAACTATCAGTGCTCAAACCCTCCCCTTCCTTTCTCTAACAACGCAAAAGCAGTTGGGAGCCACAGACTTAAAAGGGAAGTCCCCACTGAAAAGGATGGAATGCAGAACATTTAAAAAAGAAAGGTTAGACAGTATGCAGGCAGAGCACTGCATTCCTATTTTCATGTTGGCCTGTGAAGTTTTAAACAGCCACGGCCATCTTTAAAAATACCTTCGGATTTGGGTTCTCAGTCATGTGTGTATTTTTACAAAATATATATATGTCATATAAAATGTTACATATATAAAGATCTGGCATGTCATTTGCCCACACTGATACATATTGCTATTTGGGGGTGCACCTCGCTCGATTTTAGATAAAGCTAAACTCTCAGGCCAAGCCAATCCTGGGGAGGCCTACTAGCCACCTCCAACAGTCATAGTCTTGGTTCCTCTCTATTTCTGACATCTCAGTTTCACTTGAAGTTAAGAGGAAGTTTCCCACATTTAATTTTTATAACATGTGGATATGATGTCAAAAAGAAAAAAGAAAAAAAAAGAGGCCCCAGGCAGAAAAAGAAAAGAGAGGGAGGGAGGGAGGGAGGGAGGGAGGGAGGGAGGGAGGGAGGGAGGAAGGAAGGAAGGAAGGAAGGAAGGAAGGAAGGAAGGAAGGAAGGAAGGAAGGAAGGAAGGTTCTGAAATCAAAATTATTTGTGCCACTTTAGTGCCACCTGGTGGCATAAAGGCCCCGATGCCTGGAAACATCCCTTGGTCAAGAGCTGCTGAATGTAGTGGTGAAAAGCTAGAGGCTTCAGCGCAGAAAGTGAAAGTGAGACCAGAAGACACACAAATAAACATTGGAGTTTTCAATCTTTTTAATAACTTTTAAAAATTTTTTCAAGTGTTTCTTTGTTTACACCTCCATGGTATAGGAAGAGCAAGAACATTTTTAGGAGAAATAAGTTAGAAAGTTTAAATATAAATATTGAACTTGAGAACAATTCAGGAAAACATGTTCATACCACTTGGGGCCATGGACAGACCAGGGCCTGAGGTTGTTTTATTACACAAAGTAACCGGTACCATTTACTAGCAAATCAGTTCACAATACCTTCTCCCCCGCATCAGAGGCCGTCAACTCGGCTCCCACACCCTGGGTCCCGGGTTCCACATCCCAACAGCCTCTTCCTCCTGTCCCTTCTGTGACTAGTGCTAGAAGGGTGCCGTTGAGACAGAAACAAAAAGGACATCGTCACACATCAGCCAGCGGACTGGGCTCTTTTGCATACAGCTGACCCACATTTTCCCTTGAACACACACCATGAGATCACACGTATGGAATATTCTCACATCCGGGGCTAGAACCACTAAAATAGCTCAGAGCAACGCAGAGACCCTGCCCTCAGGGAGCTTACAGGCTAACGGGTACCACGCTGACAAAGGGCATCAGTTATCAGCCATCGTTTTGTTTTTTCTTCTTGTCTTGCAGAGAGGTGTTCGTGTGATGGTGGTGGCACTGAGAAGGCGGACTCTCCATCTCACTCACACTGAACAGGAACAAGCCGCCTGGGGAGGGGTGGTGTTGAAAACAGGCAGCATGGGGCAGAGCCAGGCTGGCAGGCCCAGAGCCAGGCACAGGGGTCTGGCAGGCTCCCGGGGGCCGCAGCGGAGCAGCGGGCCAGACACAGGGCTGAGCAGGGAGGACTCATCCTCCAGAAGGGGAACTGGTTTTCAAAAACAATTTTCAAGTGGATTTTTTTTCTCGCAACTCTTGCTGATGCTCTAAATTTATAACACTGCTACTACTGTATGTTTAACCTATAAAAACTGAAGTATTTCTAGTCCAGAAATACTTTAAGTACCACCTACAGATGTCATTCCTCTCATTAAATCTCTGTTGGTGGGATGACAGGCTTGCCGTACACGGATTAAACAAAACCTTCTCACGCCCTCTCACACGCAGAAGTTCCCTGGACTTCTGTTTTTTACCTCAGTGCCATCTTGAGACTTTATTTCTGATAGAGGAAATACTGTTCTCTCCTTGTTTCGAAGAGAGTCCTCTAATACAAAGGAGTTTTTGTTTAAGCATGAATGACTCCAAATTATATCAGCTAAAAAATAAGTTCATTTTGCCCACGACAGGTAGCACTTGTTCATGTATATAGTGAAGGGACATTTTTATAAAGACTTTTTCTGTCCCTAACACGTGGTTCCCCTCTTGGGCACTGTTCTTAACGCTTAGCGAGATGCCAAAAGCATAAACAAAAGCATTAGCCATTCTCTCTCTTCCCCCTCGTAGGCAGGAGGACCCTCCGCTGGGGAAGGCAGCTGATGGTGGGGCACATGAAGGCGGAAGGGAATCTCTGTTCCTGTGGTGAGTTCCGAGGGGACGAGAGGGTGTGCAGAACTTTGTAGGGAGCAGACTGTACTCCCCGACCTGATGAGCTCTACTGAGGCCTGGAACAGAGGGCCTTGCGTGGCCCACATCCTCAAAGGGACCTGGGCCTGACCTCGCAGGACACAATCCTCAAAGTCAAAGCCGGGCTGAGCCTTCAGGTACAGGCCCTCATGTAGGGGTTGTACTTTGTCCTCATCCACGTTACAAAGAGAATCAAACTCTGGCAGCACCACGTTCCAGTCCAGCCCAAAGCTGAAGAGGTGTTTGGGGGTACAGGACCCCGCCCACGTGCCCCTGCCCCTCCTCTCCGGGAAGCCTGATATCAGAGCCAGCCTCTCGGTGGCTGTGGCAGATGTCCTCGGGGAGGTGGATACGGACAGGGAGCGCCCTGGCAGCCTGCTCTGCGGGAGGGAGGGCGCGGCCCTGTGCTCCGAGCAGCTGTGCAGCCGAGCACGGCCCCTCCCAGCTGTCCTGGGGTGAGAGCAGCAGATCCCTACACGTATTTTTAGATAGAACTTCCTTAATGGCATAATGAGGTTCTTCTTTGAGAGGAAATCACCCAGGGCAGTACAACTCCCCTGATGAATCTGGGCTGTGTCGAAATGAAAAACATATGTGCACATTCTGAAAATAGAAACCCAGGATTAGATAAAGCAGAACTTAAGAGGGGAAAATAATTACGGACGCTACTGAAAAAAAAAAAATGTATAGAATTTTAAAACGGTACCGCTTCCATTCATCTTATTTAGCCAATGGATATTTGTAGAAAAATTCTGAGACAATTTAATCCTCCAATTTCTAGCTACTAAAAGACATAGACCGGGTGGGAGTAAGGTTTTTTATCACCCGGACATAATAAAAATTATAGTTGTAAATATCTTTGCATGCTCTTATATCAGTAACCTTTGGAAAATTAAATATTTAGCTTACCACTATACATATAACAGTATAAATAGGTTTAGAGAAATGATCTAAATCAATTCTCTACAATCTATTTTTCTGTATTTAAAAATTATTGAAACAGTATTTTAATAAATAAATTCTAACCTGAAGTGTATGACAACATTAATCAAGAATCTTTTGGCACTTCTGCTATGTTTGATTGTTGTTGTTGTTTTAGTTTTCTTTTGAAGATTGTTTTAATTGAATTTATTGGTGTGACGTTGGTTAATAAAACTATATAGGTTCCAGGTGTACAATTCTCTAATACATCATCTATAACCTGTATTGTGTGTTCACCACCCAAAGTCAATTCTCCTTCCATCACCATTTATCCTTCCTTTATCCTCTCCCACCTCCTCTCACCCCCTTTTCCTCTGGCAATCATGCTGTTGTAAGTGGTTATGAGATGTTGTTGTTGTTTTTTGTTTTTGTTTTTGCTTAATCCCTTCACCTTTCTCACCCAGCCCCCACCCCTCACCTCTGACAGCTGTCTGTTCTCTGTATCTATGAGTCTTGTTCTGTTTTGTTTGTTAGTTTATTTTATTAGATTCCACATATAAGTGAAATCATATGGTACTTGTCCTTCTCTAACTGGCTTATTCACTGAGCATAATATTCTTCCTATGTATCCATTGCTTTTAACCCCACCACCACACGTGTGTGTGTGTGTGTGTGTGTGTGCGTGTTCCTACTCTGCTCAGTTCTGTTTTCTCCACTGATGCAGAGGAGATTAACTGAAAGGTCTCATTTTCTCAAAAAATAAAGATTGAATATAACTTTTAAAACTGTATTCAATAAGTTATATAAAAAATTAGTAAGTTTAGGGGGAGGTACAAAGCTTGCCTGGGCAACAGCAATACAACCCACCAGCTGCCTATTGCTTCTGTCCTTATCCTTTAACAACAGAGTCATTATTACACGTAAAGAAGGCTAGTGGACTTATTCTAGGGGGGGTTTCAAATTTTAAGAAATGCATTACTACCCCTTCAAATAGGAATACAGGCGTTGCCCTGGTGTTATGTAACCATCTCACACACGGGGTTGTGTGCAGGCTCACAGCAAACGCCCGCAGCTCACTTACAAGCAGTAGGTGGTCCTGGTGCGTCACCGCTGGGCACCTCAGGCAGGGTGGCTTCTCCACACCCCTCCTCCTCTGGGGACTGACCGGCATCGCCCACCTGGGAGGCCTTCACTGCCACCTGCAGGCTTTCAGCTAAGAAGCAGGAAAGTGAAAGTCAATTTAAAAGTAAGTGCATGAACCTACCGGGTGCACTTACAGCTGCTCAAGTGGAAGACAATACAATAATTCACAAATAATAATACAAGAATAAACTGTGTGTTGCATACTCACAATCACAAACCTACCCTGTATCCGTGTGTATTTTAACAATTAGACCAGAAGTTGGCAAACTATATTTGACCTGTGTCTGTTTTTATATGTACCAGGAGCATTAAAAAAATGGTTTTTACATTTTTAAAGAGTCAAAATACATACACATGCACAGACACAGAAAAATGTGGTCCAGAAAGTTTATGTAGCCTGCAAAGCCTAAAGTATTTACTATTCAGCCCTTCACAGAAAAAGCTTGCCAACCTGCAATCTAAAGCAATACTTTAAGCATCATTTTTTGATAGAGAATTCAATTTAAAAAAAACTTGTATAAAAATATATCACTTTCAGTAAATGAGTGTGTTGAAAAATATTCAATTAATTTAAATATGATATTGAGCATTAGGATTTTAATACTTGCTACTCTGAAATGTTAGTTATTCTTCAAAAAGAGTATGTCTCCAGCCCTGGCTGGTGTGGCTTGTTGGTTAAGTGTCATCCTGTGCACTGAAGGGTTGCCGGTTCAATTCCTGGTTAGAGCACATACCCACATTACAAGTTCAATGTTCTTTCTCACATCTATGATATTCTCTCTCTCTCTCTCTCTCTCTCTCTCTCTCTCTCTCTCTCTCTCTCTCTCTCTCATCATTTTTTTTTTAAAGAGTATTTCTCCAAACATGCCTTTAAAAAGATTCCCATTCCTCATGGTAGACCTATTGGATCAGATTCTCAGAGTAGAAAAAAAGGGGATTTGCACTTTAAACAAGCTCCTAAAATTTTAAGTGAAGTTTTTCTATTTACAATAAAAGATTTTCAACTGGCATGTGGAACAGGATTATTTTGAGGACTCTATAAATATTTCCAAAACACTGTGTCCAATGCTTTAATTTAGCAAATTGATAACCTTCCCTGTTCCGTGGACTACAGGGCATCTGATAACTAGTAAGGAGAGTCTGCAGGTTGGAGAAGAGAGACATAACTGAAGGCTCCACAAGGTAGCACATATTCAATGCTAAGTTCTATCAGCCAGGTATTTGAGCATTACAAAATGATACAAACTCATGGACACAGAGCACATTGTTATGATTGTCAGATAGGAGGGGGGTTGGGAAGCTGGGTGAAAAAGAGGAAGGAATTAAAAGGTACAAATCGCCAGTTATCAGAACAGTCACAGGGAGGTAAAGTACCATGTGGGGAAGATAATCACTCGGAGTTTTTAGGAAAGCATCACTGTTTCCTGAGCCCCAACCACCGTGCACACTGCAGATGCTCAATAAACATTTGATGAATGAATGCATAAGTCCATCAGCAGACCTCACGTCACATCACCTTTGTGCTGCTCTGCAGACCCGGACCCTCAATCGGTCTTAGATCCCATGGACCCTAAGATCTCCTCCCACTAACGTTGAGGTGCTAAGGCAGAGCTTGGCAAACATTTTCTGCAAAGAACCAGATTGTAAATACTATAGGCTTCATGGGCCATACTGTCTCTGTTGTAACTATTCGTCCTTGCCACTGCAGCAAGAGAGCAGCTGTAGATGATATGTACACAGTGGGTGTGGCTGTGTCCCAACTAAACTCTACAAAGACAGGCGGTGGCCACATTCAGTCTGTGGCCTGTACGTTACCAGCCCTTGTGCTGCACAGTAGCCCTCTCTCAGGTGGTGGCTGTTTTATCTCCCAAGCTCTTTGTCCCTACTGCCACTTCCAGCCCCATTTCTCCCCCTAAGTCCCTTTTTACCTTAAAGTTTCCCTTACACCCCTCACTGCTCCTTGGTGCCATTCACCAGCAGACTCCTTGAACAATTTAAGCACCTGGTACAATTTACCACCTCCCCACAATTCACTCCTCTCCAAACGGTGACTCCAATTCCACGAACACAGAACTTCCAATGCCCTGGCGTTCCCTGGCCTTGTTGTCTGCCCTGCCTCAGCCACCAACTGCCACATTTACACCCTGGACACTGTCCTTCTCCACTCAGCAGTCAGAGGGCTTGCTTTAAAACACAAGGGAAATCACTCTTCAACTCAAAACTCTGCGATGCTTCCCAGTGTCTCCTAGTCACGTAGGATGCAATTCAAAGTCCTCAGCTCCATCCAGGGAACCTGGTCCTAGTTCACGCCGACTCCTCCCTGCCACTTCCCAGCACTCACTTCACTTCACCTGCACTGTCCTCCGTGCTGTTCCCCAGACAAACCTGGCACTCACCTGCCTCAGGGCCTTCGCGCCCGCTGTTCCTGTGTCTGGAACACTCTTTTCCCAGATTCTACCTGGATTTTTCAGTTCCTTGTATCTGCTCATATAGCACTATATCAAAGGAGGCCTCCACGGTCTGCCCTCTCCAAAGTAAAACCTCCCCAACCCCATTACTCCCTAACCCCCACACCCTGCTCATTTTTCTTCAGAGCACTTGACATTTAACCTGACATGTTTATTTCCTTACATTTTGCTGTTTCAAGAGAGGCAGGACTTTGTCTTATTGTAGTACCGAAGGCCCGGTGCATGAAATTTGTGCACAGGGAGGATACCTAGGCCTGGCCAGCAATCAGGGCCCATTGGAGCCTTCCGACTGCCAGCGGGGGCCTCCCTTCTCCAGCTGCTGGCCAGGGCCTTCCTTCATTCCATGCTGCCCCCTGGTGGTCAGTGCACATCATAGCGAGCGATCAGTCTCCTAGTCCTGTGGTCCGCAAACTGTGGTTCTTTGGTCCCTTGAGTGTGGCTCTTCCACAAAATACCACATACCCTAATTAAGTTAATAACAATGTACCTACCTATATAGTTTAAGCTTAAAAAATTTGGCCCTCAAAAGAAATTTCAATCGTACTGTTGATATTTGGCTCTGTTGACTAATGAGTTGGCAGACCACTATCCTAGTCAAACTCCCACAGGCACAATTTGCATATTAGGTTTTTATATATAGATAGATATCCTCAGCACCAAGACCACAGCGCATGGCCGATGGTAGGGACACAGTAAACATTTTCTGAATTGATCAAACCACACCCCTTTGGAAGCAACTTACCTTCTTTCAGTGCCGCTGCCAGTAAGGAGGCCGCCTGGGGAGGCTCGCCAGGGTCGGGTTTGATGAGGAGGTGGGGCTCCAGGTGGACATCCTCAAATCCACTCAGTTCTCCAAGCTCTGCGTAGAGATGCAGCTTCTCCTCCAAATACGTGCAGATTTGCTGGTCTTGATTACAGAGTATTTCTACAAAATAGCATTTACCATAGAAGGTTATCACAGGAACTTAACAACTATGAAAATCCACATTGCAAGACAAAGAAGTTGCCGATTAGCTAGCAGAGTGATCTAACAGGTAAAATAACCTTGTTGGGTGGGACAGATCCACACTCGAACCCTCACTGTTCCATTCAGTGACTGCGGCCTCCAGCAAATGACCTAATTCTCTGAGCTTCCCATGTATTTTCTATAAATGGGGTACTCAATAAATCCTTTCTCAGTCCCCTAATTTCAGAAAAACTGGCAAAGCTATTCTTTGCTGGGGCTGTTTTCTATCACAACTAAACGTTAAGCTCGGGAATGACACTGAGGCGGCTCATCCGTAATGAGTGAGACCCATGAGGGAAAACAGTGCAAAGGCCGGAACTGCCCAGGCTCCAGCCAGCCTTGGTCAAAACCAAGCAGAGCGGTTCGTGTTTCTATTCCTGAACATCCCATTTTTTTTATTTTTATTTTTTTACCAACTTCGCATGCATCATTTTCCTCTTATTTCAACATGTCACAGGATGCTTCAAGCTTAAAAGGACCAAACCAGCACCTAATCCGGAAGTTCTCCATTTCTCTGCCTCAGAATCACCTGGGAGACTTTAAAATACTAATGTCTGCACCCCACCTCCGAAAGATTCTCCCCGAATCAGTCGAGGGTGAGGCCCAGGCACCAGAATTTGAACCTGCCCCAAGTGATTCTAACGTCCAGCCAGAGACGAGAATCACCGAGTTGACTTATTTCCGGATTTCACAGACTTGGACACTGAGGACCAGGGCTCTTGTGTTCCTTAATCACAGTCACACAGCTGTGCCCTGATAGTGCTGGGCCTTAAAACTGAACCACTGGACAGCAATTCTTAGAACCACAGGAGTCACACCATTCACGGTTACTGTTTCATGTGTCATGTACAAACATTTAAAAAATATATTATTTTTTACATTCAATATTATTTTGTATTAGTTTCATGTGTACAACATAATGGTTAGACAATCGTATACTTTATGAAGTGTTTCTCTGATATTTCCAATGCCTACCTGGCACCATGCAGAGTTATTACAATATTATTAACTACATTCTCGATGTTGTACTTTATATCCGGTGACTCTTCTATAACTACCAATTTGTACTTTAATCCCTTCACCCTTTTCAACCATTCCTCCACCTCCCTCCCCTCTGGCAACCATCAAAATGTTCCCTGTATCTATAAATCTGTTTCCATTTTCTCATTCATTTATATTTTTCTTTAGATTACACATACAAGTGAAAGCTTATGGTATTTGTCTTTTTCTGACTTATTTCACTTAGTACAATAGCCCTCTGGTACAGTCGTGCTGTTGTAAATGGTAAGATTTCATTATTTTTCATGGCCAGGTTATATTCCATTGTATATATTTTCCACAGCTTTTAAAAATACTATGTTCTTCATCACAAAGGAGGAAGAAGGGAGAGATACACCCTATTTAAGCACTGCTACTGTGTTTCCCCGAAAATAAGACATCCTCCGAAAATAAGACCTAGCGCAACTTTGGGAGAAAAAGTTAATATAAGACACTGTCTTATTTTCGGGAAAACAGGGTAGTACCAGTATTTTTTTTTTTTTATTAGAGTGGGCCTTGCATGCACAGAATTAGATTAATCAGTCAGACATAGCTTCCCATTCATGACACCTGGGCTTTCTCAACATCCACGGCCACACACAACAACCAGGGAGCCACAGGTGCCAGCACTGTACCTTGACATTGCTGAATTTTGGCCACTCTTGCTTCAGCTTTCCGCCTCTCTTCATCAGACTCACTTGTCCTCCCCCCTTCTTCTTCTGGGCATCTTGAAAAGACAACAATCAAGAGAGACAACTCAAACCAAGTCCAAGTACCTTTGGGGTCATTAGAAAGACACTGGAGAAGCAGTAGAATCATTCAAAGAAAAAGTCAACATAAAGAGAATTCGACATGCCCCCTGGCCAAGACATTTGGTTTTCTTGAGCATATAAAGGACCTCTCCTAATGTAACAGCCCTCAAAGCCAGCAGCAGAGGGAATGGGAGTAGGGCGCCAGGTTGGGTGGGGTACGTGGCGATGAGGAATTTTATGTAACATCATTCAAGATCTAATGAACCAAAGGACCATTAAAAATGATCACCCTACTCTCCCACCCCCATTTATAAAAACTGCTTGTGCCCTAACCAGTTTGGCTCAATGAACAGAGTGTCAGCCTGTGGACTCAAGGGTCCCAGGTTCAATTCCAATCATGAGCATGTACCTTGGTGGCGGACACATCTTCAGTAGGGGGTGTGCAGGAGGCAGCTGATCGATGTTTCTCTCTCATCAATGTTTCTCGCTTTCCCTCTTCCTTCCTCATTTAAAAAAAATCAATATTTTTTTGATTCTTTTAAATCAATAAAATATATATATTTAAAACAAAAAACTGCTTGTGCACAGTAAGGAGGAGTAAATTGACCTAGAGCATGTAGATCCACTAATCTAAAAATGTTTATTGAATGATTTTTCATAATGCAGCCCACAGAGAAACATAAGACATGGCCCCTGGCCTCAAGAAGCTTCCAATCTAATAAATAAATATATATATACATGAAAAATGATTACAGCCACAAGGCAGTGTATGACGGGCACCAAATAAATGCTTTAGAGAGCATGTTAAAGAATTTCAGGTAAGAAAGAGCCAAGGGAAGCCAAGAGGTGTTCGCTAAGGAGAGGAACATGAGCTGCATCAAAATAGGTAGGGTTGCTGCAGGCAGAGGGGAGGGTGGGGTTGCATGCAGGGAGGCCGGGAGGACAACGCTGCAGGTGAGGGCCTATCACAAGCAGGTGCAGGGGAGCAGACCGCTCGGGCTGAGGCAAAGTTTTCGTGCGAGGGGGACCCCGTTAGAGCATGCTCCCCATCGAACCAGCCCATCTCCTAGCCTATGGGCAGAAGGAAACGTTACCTCTCCACTGCCTGCTGGATCCGTCTCATCCAGTTATTCCGCTCCTCCTTGGAATTGGTGTGAATCTCATACATCTCAGGGCCAGCAGAAGAGGCGCTGATCAGAAACATTCCTCTCTCCTCATTAGCAACTTCTCGGGCGATAAGCTTCTGAAGGGAGATAACGGATGGCTTCTGATCCTGCGTAAAATAGGAGGGCGTGCAGGTGAAACAGCATCCCATCCCAGGGGAGGGCTGGCAGAGCACGTTAGCGAAGAAAAGCAACTGTGTTACGGAAGTCTTAATATCATTTCAGTCTTTTCCCAAGAGCTGAGGAAGTTGGCAAGAGCTCCATAGAACAGTTATGGTGAAGACAGGGTGGGAAGAAAAGATACAGGAAAGTGTCCTCAAGAATTGGTGTTTTAAAAGGACACCTTTTAAAGAAACTAACACACAATTGACCAAAGAATGTGCATACACAATTGCTAAGCCACCCTGTGGGGAGGCAGAGCTTTGGACATTAATCCCAACTTCTTTAATTGCTGCAAGTAAATAAATCTACCTTGCAACAAAAAAATAAATAAAAGGACAACTTAAAAAAAAACAGAGAGAGAGAGAGAGAGAGAGAGAGAGAGAGAGAGAGAGAGAGAGAGAGAGAGAGAGAGAGAGAGAGAGAGAGAGAATATCATCAGAGCACTGAAAAAACAAACCAAACATCAAAATGTCATAGTCAGGGGTGGAGGAATTTTTCTAGAAAGGCATGGGATAGGAAATAGTATATCAAATACTACGGAGAAATTGAGAGAGATGGAAAACTTAAAAGGTCCCTTGAAGTTGGCAGTTAACAACAACACTGTTTCAATAAGGGGACAGATACAGAACCCCAAGTACCAAGGAGTGGAATGTGGAAATAACAGGCAGGAATGAGGTGGCCAGGCTTCAGACTCCCTTGGCATAACCAGTGTCTCCTACTCTCAGAGGAGCAGCAACACAACTTCCACAGTTCTACCCGCAAATTTCTCTAATTTCTACCGACCAGGGGACCTCTTGGCAGGTAGGAATAGGTCTAATTCCTCTTCGTGTCTGACACAGTGCTTTGCATGAGCAGGCCCTCGATAAATGTCTGTAGAACTAGATTTAGCTTAATTCTATTGGAGGGGAATAGGAAGGAAGTCTACAACTTGGCATCCAATCTACGATTAAGTCACCTCTCCTCCCAACATTTCCTGTGACCACTGTTCCCTCTAGTCTGGGGGCTTCAGAGATGAGTGAGACACTGAACATAGTAAGGTAGCGAGGCAGCCATACATGGAAGAACAGCCAAAGGAATGCCTGCTGAAGTTTTGGGGTGTAAATATGAAGACTCTTCCTTGGTTTGTGGCTTCCACAATTTACAGTGTAAGTTGCAGTATGTGGTTTTGCTTCTCCCTCGTGGACGGAGTGACGCCTTTACAGAACATGCCGCTCATTGCCTCACTGCTGACTCTAGTGCAGGCTTTGCTCTCCCAGCACCCACAGCCCTACCACATCTGAGGGTGTGTGCAGGCACACATCGCTGTAGGCACGGAAGGCTCTGCCACAGAAGAGGAGGAACAGGAGCCGCCACCTTTAGCCCCATGGTGACAATATACCCACTGAGATTCTACAAGGTGGCGGGTTCTATCGTTGAGCAATTCTATTTGTGATTCCACTGTGATAACAAGACCTTAAGGTCACCTCCTTGTTTCAACTTGCACATCTACATGGTGAGACGACCTCCTACACTCAGGGTTCCAGGATTTAGTCAAAAACACCTGCTTTTTCCTATTCATTTTATATATTTGAGTCCTACTGGGTTAGCAACAGGTACAGAAGACAGGCAGCAAGGTGCCAGAAGTGACCAACATTGACATGTGAGTTTCTGGAAAGCCAAGGGGGTGGGTATTTGGAGGAAAGACCTGGAGAACCAGATGGCAGAGGATCACAGCAGGGGGGAGGGAGTTATGGCAGTGCCTGTTCACCAGCCAGTACCAAACTCCAAACCTCTGCAATCCTTTCATAATTGAAGAGGTTAATAGGGTGAGTGGGAGGAGAACCTATGTAATACTTGCAATAATAAAGATTATATATGTGTGTGTGGTTGTGTGTGTGTGTGTGTGTGTGTATCATAATTGGTTGATTATGTTGAGCCAGCTAACTACCTATCCTGGTTGTGATAATTCAATGTTCATCATGCTACTTAAGTCCAATTAGATGTTTGTTACTAAACACTGTAGTCATTAATTACAATGGGAATATAACAGGGGCATATTCTCACCCATGACTATATAATGTCACCAGGAATGTCAGGAATTTTTTAAGGAGATGTGGGATTAAACATGCATCATATGGCCATATACTTACAACAGCTGCAAAGATGTATTTCTGGTCTTTTTCTTGTAAAAAGAGCAGCACATCAGTTAGAAGTAACGCTAGGATATCTTTAAAGAAAAAAGCTTTGTTAGTATCAATGAAGCAAACCACAGTGCAAATGCCGATATTAAATATTTTTAAAGTAAAAAGACTTCATCTAATTATGAAACTTTGATAAAATGACTGAATTATGATAGCCAAAGATATTTTATAGATAACAGACAAGCCACGACTAGGTGTGCATGGTTATGTGTGTCACTATAAGTATTGCTAAATATCCAGCAAATTTAATGTTGTAACTTTTAAAAAGGAAGAAAAATATCCAAGTAAACAAAAAGTTTTAATAGAATGGAGCAAGCTGTTACCTTTATGGGAAAAATGAGTGCTAATTAAAAATGTTATAGGACAGCTTCTGCCTCAAATTATATATAAAAATATGCTGTTTTGTTCCATCTAAGTCCTATAGTTCCCTTACAAATTGTTCACAAGAACCCATCTTTTCTATTCCACTGGCCTTTCTGACAGAGCTACCAAACTAATGATTCTGCAAAAATGGATCAAGAGATAATAATCAGACACACAGGATCTATAGACAGTGCTTAATATTTTAGTTTGGTTAATGTTCTCATTGTGGTTAATGTTTAGGTGCCACATGGCAAGTTGCTGACCAACAAATCCCATTTCAGTCATTAGTGGCAATCACCAGTGAAACTGGACAATCCTCCAGTAGGATTAACAACCTCTCGGTGTTTACCTGAGGATGTTAGGATGCGTAAAAACAAGGAGAGCAGACCAGAGGTTCTTAACCTGGCTGCGCAGCAGTCTCACCTGCAAGCTTTTAAACAGCCCCATCATTCCCAGACCTTCATCCCCAGACCTTCATCCCCAGACCAATAAGCTCAGAATTTCTGGGAGGGGAGAAGCAGTAGTAAATTGTTTAAGCTCGAAAGGCGATTCTAGAGTGTGGCCAGGGTTGAGAAAGACTAGGTCAAGCAAGAATCAAGCCTAGGACAAGCTATAGAATCAGCCCCTAAGAATCTGAATAAACTGGTTCGGACTCGGACCAGATTAGTGGAGTCACGTTAATGCTGTTAGTACTGAGGAAGCATCTACACCAATGTAAGCGTGTCTATTTTTGTAGTTTGTTACTCAGTACGAACATGACATTCATGAAGTTCACTCCTCCCCTCCACGGCCGGTTACTCCTGAGCTGAGTGTGCAGGTGTACCACCCCACTTTAAATCACATTTTCCAGATTAACATTTCTGTGCCAACAGTTGGAAGAATTCTCAGTTCCTTTGACTCAAACCTCACAAACTTGGACATTCATAGGACATACATAAGGGCTTTTGCTTAGAGCTGCAAACTGCCACTGAAAAGGTTCGTGGCATTGGCCACATGGCCTACGGGTGTTCACAACTCGATCCTACAGGAATTTTCCCGCTGACCCAGGGTTTGTGCCTACATTTCTGAACTATTTGTCTTTTGAAAGCCTGTCCTTTGCTAAAGGAATATCATGTGTGGCAAAAGGAGAAATTGGGTTGGGAGTGCCACAGTACCTTTGAAGCGGCCCGTGGCGGTTTTCCAAAAAACAAGGCCTTCGTGTAACAGAGTCCTTTCTTTGCTTATCAGCGCCTGCTTCCTAAACACGTCGCCGTTTTTGAGCTTGGTGTATGTTTTGTTTTCGATCTTACTTAGGATCTCAAGCCATTTTTGGTTTTTCTCATATTCACTGACTTTTAAATCCACGGCTGCAATCATGTCTCTTATTAGGCAAAGAGCTTTGCATAAGTCTTTATGTTCTTCCGTGTTTTCTGCATGGGAAAAAGAAAGAAACGTGATACAGTAAGCCAGAGAGCTAAGGGAGACAGTTTTTCCCCTATACTTTTAAATACAGCTAAATGTATCATCCAAACAGGAAAAGTCTCTGAACAAAAATGCTGGATTCAATTCAAATACCACATTATCACTGTGCACCCCTCCTCCCAAAAGAACCGCTAAAATATTTAATTATAAAAGATTTGCTTATCAGATGTGCCTCCGCTGAAACACTATGAAAACAGGATGTCTGATTTCTAGAGACTGGTTTGACCTTCCTCCTAGAGAAGGGAATGTCTTATATACAAGGTGGGGCAAAAGTAGCCACAGTTGTGAGTACGCAAAACACAGCGTTTATTCTTGGATTATTATTTATTAATTATTTTCCATCTGAATAACTGTAGACCTACTTTTGCCCCACTGTGTATACTAAGTTAGGCCTTCCTTCTACCTTCCCAGACACAGGTAATCAAGTAATCCCCGCACTAAGCTTCTCAGAACTTAATCAAGCCACAAGCCCAGGTTGAAGTCCTTTCATAAATTAGAGCTTCAGGGTGCCTTGAATGGGCCTCAGACTCAATTGCTTTCTTGGATCCCTTCCTCCATAAAAATAACACTCAAAACTACATTTTACAAGTGCATTAGCAGGAAGAAAAATATATCAATAATACATATTAAACATTTTTTGAACTAAAAAACTGGACCATGGCACTGTGCCTAGTGGCTCATGCCAACAGAGTAGATGATCATCGAGTCTGGTTGTTATTCTTTAAAACATTGGCCACCTGCTCTTACCTATGGATTATCTTAAGCAAAAACTCTGGAGGAGTTTCTGGAACAGCATCCTGAAACTCCAGATAAAACCGAGTGTAGCTATTTTCTATAGTTGAGGATTTTAAAAACCAACTAGTTGATGTTTATTGAGGCAAAAGGAACTGAAGGGGAAAGTTTCAGGAGGTTAAAAGTTGCTAAAAGATGTTTTTAAAAAATGGCAGAGAAAAATAAAAGATTTTCCAGACCCTAGAGCAGCAGAAATAAATACGAAGGAATAGTAGTCAAGTGGGATGAGAACAAGTCCTCCAAAGGCCCAAATGTGTTAGATACACGAGGATCTGTCAGAAAAGCTCAAGGGATAGATGCAGACACTCATCTTCAACAAAGAAGAGTCATTCTCATGGCCCGTGAGAGGACACACCTCACTATTTTACTAGGCCTATTGCCCAATAAGCAGCATACACCCCGCCCCCCACCAAATTTCTTTCTAAAGAGCATATTTCATAGTAGGATAGTTGAGTAGAGAAAGTCAATCTTGAGTTACAAGGTGACTTGTGGTAAGGCCAAGAAAAGGCTCCAAGTCTTGACCTTCAGGGACAAATTACTATCTTACAATAGCTTGCTACTCAACGTATAGCAGCATCAGACTCACCTGGGAATATTGTTAGAAATGCATACGTTGGGTTCTATTTCAGGCGCTAACTGAATCAGAATCAACATGTAAACAATCCCCAGGTGAAGGGTAACTCCTAATGAAGTTTGAGAAGCATTGCATAATAGAGTCAGGTGAACCATGTTCTCAGTAGCCAGAGAAAGAGACAGACCATTGGGAAGCAATGACCTAAGGAGGTCAGACAGCTATGTGTGAGAAGCCCTATGTCATAATTATCATGGTTGACACACACTAGGGAATCACTATTATTCTTTCTTCCAGGGATGTGGCATGGGATGATTGTTGGAGCGGACCTAATACAATCTGACAAATGTTAATCCGTGAGGTATTGTATATCCTATATAATAAGAAAGGAATATGCTAGTTATCCGATATACCCTGAGGCTTAACAACCAACTGCATAGCCACGGGATCACAGATCTGCAGGAGGGTGGGGCAGCGAACTATGAACAGGCAGCAGAGTGCGATAGGAGGGGGCAGGGTGGTAAGCTATGAGATGGGAGGGAGGTGGGGGAGCTACAGGAGGGTGGCAGCGACCTACTGGCACATGGATCTGTGGCAGGGATACTAGTATGAACATAATACACAATGAAAGTCCTGATTTTGTTTTCATTCTTTTGCTGAAAACAATATTTATGAGGTTTTTCTCTGTATATTGTGCTTCTATTTTCTTTTATATTATAAGGATAAATAAAAATGGGACACAAGGAATAGATGCTACTCACCTAGATCCCTACTCACCTAGACCCCTTCCCAAAAATAAATGTCAGAGTTAACTTTTTTAGAGTTGGCATATAAAATCTCATTGATCTCACACAGTATCTTAGGACACCATTTTCATTAACTCTAAGTCAACTAACCATAATAAAGAGAATGAAAACAGCTCCCACTTATTGAGCACCTTGTCTACACCAGGCTCTGCACTGGGCACTTTCTGAGACAATCTCACTTGATCCTCACAATTCCGTAAGATGAGGATTATTATTCTCTTGGTAGTGGAGACAACAGAGGCTCACTTAATTAGCTTGCCCAACTAATGAGCCCCAGAACCAAGAATATGCAATAGCAATGCAAGTTTACATAACTCCAAACCCAGTTCATGTTAATACAACACACTAAACCCCAATAAAAATAAATTCAAAATTGATAAGCTAACTTTTGGAACTGGCAATTTTATTTATCCATTCATTGCACTGATGTGTGTTTGTTTATTGATAGGCTATTCTTGACAAGCCACTGTACAAGGCATTGAAGATCCAGTTGTGAACCAGACAGACACAGGTCTTCTAGATCCCTCCAGGAGCTTACAATCCAGCCATGTGCATTCATAGCTCCTCAAAGGACACCCAGATGTTACTCCCTGGAACTTAACAAATTGACAGGGTCAAAAATAGCTCCTTCATAAATCATTCTCAATTTAATAATTCATTGGTTAGGAGAGTTGACATGTGTTGCTGTGATCAATTGCATATGTTTCAACAAACAGCAGGAAGGTAGCAGGAAGATGAGGATGAAGAGGTATGAAGAAGATCTGGATATGGAAAGGCTGCAGAAGAGAAAGGCGGGGTCAAAGTATGAAGAAGCCCGCTTGGTTTGGGCTGGTTGGAGGACTTTAGACTGTTGGCCAAGCCACATTATAAAAGGTAACCTTTCAAAACAAATCCAAATCCTAAGGCTTTAACAGTTTTTCCATAATGGTAATCTTTATGAATCAGAGGCCACAAGCATTTACCGGTATAGGTCTTTACAACACCTCAGGCATGCTTCAACGTAATGAAAGAGGCAAATGTTTGTCCCAGAAGTCATCACTCACCCTTTGTGTACTGCAATATCCTCTCCACTAAGACGGGGTACTTTGTGATGCGCTGAGTGACTAGCAGGATGCATTCTGGAATTCCTCGGCGTCGAGCCAAAAGATTACTATTTCGGAGCTTAAAAAAGGATAGATATATTTTTATATTCACAAACTCTATTCGTATTTTCTTTATAGAAGTGAATTTAATAATACAAAGAATCTGCAACAGCATACTTCTATTCAGACACAATACAATACACATTATTACTAATTGAAAATTGATGCATTGTCATTAACTCGTACACTTTGTCATTAATTTCAATAACCCAGCTCTCCGAGATTTCAAGAAGTTTTAAATCTTCTCTGATGTATTTGTAGTTAATTCCCAATGTGAGTAAATTCAAATACATATAAGACTTAAGATTCATGAACAAAAAGTGTTGAAAAATACTCAGAAATCAAAGTTAGAGTTTGAGTATGAGTTTGCCGATAACTATATTTTTCCAACAGGGCATCCTCTTTATGTGTTGTTATTCAACTTAAAGTTCCCTCTAATCAGGGCAACTTTTTCTAAAAATTTCAGAGTATTCTTTAAGTTTTCAAATTCTCAATATACACATACAGAAACAAAAGGAAGAGAATCTGATAGAATTTTTTAAATGTTATGTAAAATTTTTGGATCCATGAAATGCTAAAGGACAAATTTCTTTAACAAAAAAAAACAAAAACAAAACAAAAAAAAATAATAGGTGCAAAAAAAGGAAAGAGAAACATTCAAATTAAAAAAAAAATTTTTTTTTAAAGAAATAACCCTCATATATAATTGTAAGCCTTGGACAGATCTTTATTTAAGCAACTCAATTTTATGAAATAATCAGGAAATCCAAATACTGGCCAGCTGTTGAAAAATATTAAAGAATTACTGTTCATTTATCTAAGCTCGATAATGTCGCTGTAATTTTTAAAAAGGTTGTATTGTTTAGAGATACATATAAAATGATGATGATGAGTCATGGATTTGCTTCAAGCTAATTCAGTGGGAGTGGAAGGATTCTGTCCTTGTTTTTACTATGATTCTTCTGATTTTTAACTTGTCAGGGCATGAAAGAGCTTCACATGATATTACAAAGGTGCTTATAAGCTTGGAGGACATGACTTCACAAATACAAGCTACAAAAGAAAATGATTTAGAAGAAATATTTTACTAACACAGGAAAAAAAAAAAAAAAAAAGACTTTCCATCTTGACCACAAACTTATTAGCACTCCTTCTAAAACAACACCTAGATGTGAAACTTAGTGAGGTTATGTAAAAAATAAGCATGAACAGTTTTCTCAAGTTGAATTTTAAAATACTTGCCTTAATAAAATTCTGAAACTTTTTATTCTGCTGGAGTTCTTTAAATAGGCTGACAGCTTCTTTGTGATGGCTACAGAACTCTCCATATATTTTCTTCATCGTATTTGCGTTTTCTTCTGAAAACTGAGAATAACATTTCAGTGATGATTTATAAATCGAGTCAGTTCTGAACACTACAGGGAAAATGCAATTTTCATATATTTCAATACATACTTTGCAAATAAAGAATAAAGATCCTGGTTTCCAGAGCTCAATGCTGATGAGCATATGTTAAAATAATTGCCTATTAGTAATCTACAAATAGACAATAATGTTGGCATATTCTGTTTAAAAAAAATCATGGAACTTCTGAACACAATCACTTACCTTTTTCAGTTAAAAAAAAAGTGGTCAAGAGGTAAAGGGAAGACAGTAATCTAATGTGATTATGTTATACTAAACTAATTCAATTATCAAATAGCCAAATAAAAAACATTTGATATAATTTATTCTTTTTGTAATCTTTGTGATTTCAACTTATAGTTTGAATATTTTTGAAGATTGAAGAAAGGATTATGTGGCAACACTTGGGGACCTCTCACTAAGGGTCCATGTCCATGGACTCAGTCCTCAGTCTGGAGTTTGATTTCTGTCAGCACATCACAAATAGATCAAGAGGCAGGTAATTGATCATTGGGCAAGATAAAAGAGAAAGATGAGTAACTATGGTGCCAGTTAATTAACTGATGGAGAGAAGCAGAGATGTGGGCTAGATATTTCAATAAGCTTGACTTATAGATCAATCTCTGTCTCCGAGGCATGAACTCTGGGGCTTTCATGGTACAGAGCTGCCTCCTTTTAAAACGAGCCAGTGCTTGCCTTGAAGATGCTGGTAAGACTATCACAGCACACTGGGGAGCCACATTATTGGAAAGCCATCACAATAAGAAGTTTAAATAGAATTTCCATAAAGGGATTTATTGTGGCTGTGACTCTTGGTGGAAGTAGTGATAGGGCCAGTCACTGGTTTTTGGAAACTGTCAGGCATCAGTCATATAAACTAACATCAAACAAAAGAAAGTCAACCAAAATCATCTCTCAATCAAAATGAAGTTAATTCCAGTTCTCCATTGGTGGTTAATGCCGTGGAGAATCCGCAAACCTTTCAGTTTTTGAGTTTAGGACCTTTAAACCTCTCTTACCTGTTGGACTAGAATATCTCCAATTCGGTTAATGACGAAATTCCTGTCATTGTCAGCACAGGATTCCTGCCTCCGCTCCTTCATGCTGTAGAAGAAATGCCTATGAATTTCAAGTAATTCATCCAAGCAGGGGAAGATTTTATCCACCGTGCTGTGGTCCAGCTGCAGCTCCTCCTTCATCCCTTTCCTGAAGATCTCAGACATGATGAAGAGGGTCTGGATGTGATGCATTTCCGTTTGCATTAGCTCTGAAACACGCAAGCAGGAACAGGTTCTTTTACACAAGAATCCCTACTGACCTAAGCTAGTTGCTGAACACTATACGTCACACAAATTAAAAAGGAAATGTTTAAAAATAATCTTCTTCCACTACAAAAGTCAGCATCAATTAAACATTCATGCAAGCTTAAATTAATCAACATTTTCTGTTTTTCCAGATAGAAGAAGATAAATTCAAGTCCAATACATAAGAATCCAATGTATCTGAAACTCTCATAACATAACTAGCTAGTGTCTTTAGGTACCTTTAGCTAGGAACTGGTCTTATTCTTCCCTGAATGTTCTCTGAAATATAACTTAGTATGTCTCAGTTTTTCTGTTTTGCTTTGTTTTATATATATATATATATATATATATATATATATATATATATTTTTTTTTTTCTTTCCACTTTCTCTAGGGGAAAACAATGTATCATGATCAAGGAACATCATCAAGGAAGTAAAAAGACAACCCATAAAATGGGAGAAAATATTTATAAATCATATACCTGATAAGAGACTTGTATCCAGAATATATAAATAACTCTCACAATAACAACAATAAGCCCACTTCAAACATAGGCAAAATATTTAAACAGATATTTCTTCAAATATATACAAGTGGCCAATAATTACATCATTACATGTAGCTATCAAGGAAATGCAAATCAAAACCAAAGTGAGACACGACTACACACATACTAGAATAACTGTAATAAAAAAGATGGACAATAAAGAAGTGTTGGTGAGGTGAGGATGTGGAAAAGTCAGAAACCTCATACTTTGTCAGTGGGAATGTAAAATGGTGCAGTTGCTTGGGAAAATAGCCTGGAGGTTCCTTAAAAGGTTAAACATAAAGTTACCACATGACCCCAAAAGTGGAAACAACCCAAAATACCCATCAACTGATAATTAGATGAACAGAATGTGGTATATTTACACAATGGAATATTATTCAGGCATAAAAAGGAATGGAGACTGATACTACAATATGAATGAATCTTGAAAAACATAATGCTAAGTGAAAGAAGTCAGTCACAAAAGATCATATACTGTATAATTCCATTTATGTGAAATGTCCAGGACACGAAAATCCCAAGACACACAAAGTAGAGTAGTGGTTTCCAGGGGCTAAGTGGGAGGGGAAAGTGGAGAATGACTGCTAATGGGTACAGGCTTTTTCCTTTTGGAGCAGTGAAAATCCCATGGAATTAGACGGCAGTTGATGGTTGCATACTAAAAACAATTAGGTTCATTGTAAAGGGGTGAATTTTATGGTATATAAATTAAATCTCAACTTTAAGAATGCAACATGAGAGAAAATAATAATTCACAATTTGTAAAATAGAAGCACCAGAAGTCCTAGATTAGTTTTTCCAAACTTATATGTTTTAAGAAAGAATCTAAAATGTCAACAATAAAAATAAATTAATTAATTAAATTAAAAAATTAGCCATGGAGGGTAAACAAATCTAAATGTAGCTTTATTATTTTATCATAAACAAAAATTTCTTTAATTGAAAACCAACTAACTTTACATTATTTTCTACCAAGTTTCAGTGCTAAACACATAACCATATCATTTCATTTAATCCTCTAGTCCATTTATCTAGCATGACTCCAAAATAAAAATTATTTCCCTCATCTTTAAAAGACAATAAAGAAGAAAATTGAAAGAATTTTCCCTAATCCAAGTCTTTCTGACACAAAGGCCACGTTATGAACTACCCTACATGGTAAATTCATTCAAAATGGGTTAGGTTCTTTTTTATAATATATGAAATCAAGAGAAAAATGAAGAAGAATTACAGTATGATATAACTTGCATGAGAAATACTGGCAGCATTTCCTTTCCATAGGAACTCCCACTGATGCAGCTCTGGACAGACTTGAAGCACGCTCGCATAGCACCTCACCTGGCCTGCATGCCCACCCAGGTGAGAAGGGTCCTCACTTGCCCATGGACTCTGTGGGCCACACATGCACACAGGCACACCTTGTTTTGTTGTGCTTTGCTTTATTGTGCCTTTATTACAATAAAATAAATTTTTGCCTTCACCAGCAAAGCAATTGTTACTCACTTTATTGCAACATTTGCTTTATTGCAGTGGTCTGACACTGAACCTGAAATAGATCTGAAGTCTGCATGTACATGGGATCAATGAAAACTAAAAGCTAGTCTTATCTTTCAAAATAAGGTGTCTTCTCGAAACTACTATTTAGCATCTACTTTGTACTTGAGAAATTTTTAAGCCTCATTTTTTCCAAACTAGTGCATAATTGAACTTCCCCTGACTCAGACTGCCTCCACCTCACATGGCATGAAATAGTAAATGTCAGCAGAGTGTAACTCCATAGGCAGGACGGCATCACACCGTCACACATTGCCCTAAATCCAGGTGCTGCCCCTCCCATTGCTGTCTACCTGATTGGCAACCGCTGGTGCATGCCCTGTCCACCCTACATTAATATATGTGAGTTTTTTCTGTGATTCTTATAATAGCAGAGGTAAATATATATAAGCCATGCTTAAATAAACTTTAAAAGGGTGTAAGAAATAAATTCTGCTTTGTATCACGTACACACAATGCCTTATTTAATCCTCACAACGTTTTAAACCCGAGTATCGTTATTCTCATTTTACAGATGGAGACACTGAGATCCAGGTGAATTAAACAATTTATCAGAGATCAAATAACTAGAAAATGGTAGCATTTGGCCCTAGCTGGTTTGGTTCACTGGATAGAGCACTGGACTGCAAACTGGAAGGTCCCAGGTTCGATTCTGGTCAAGGGCACATGCTCTGGTTGCGGGCTCAATTCCCAGTAGGGAGCGTGTAGGAGGTAACCAATCAATGATACTCTCTCATCATTGATGTTCCTATCTTTCTCCCCCTCTCCATTTCCCTCTAAAATCAATAAAAATGTATTTTTAAAAATAAATAAATATAAAAATAAAAATCACATTAAGAAAGTTGCTTTTTAAAAAAAAAAGAGAGGGAGGGAGGGAGGGAGGGAGGGAGGGAGGGAGGGAGGGAGGGAGGGAGAGAGAGAGAGAAAGAAAGAAAGAAAGAAAGAAAGAAAGAAAGAAAGAAAGAAAGAAAGAAAGAAAGAAAGAAAGAAAATGGTAGAATTTGAATTGAACTGAGGTCTGAATGGTTTCAAAGTCCAGGTTTTTTCCTCTACATGACACTGCTTCATCCCAAGGAGCATATCTGAAAAGCTTACCAAAAATGACATCCTGTCTTTTGATGACATCCTTCTCCTGTCTACTACAAAACGAGGGGTCCACCACAAGACTCCAAGATTCTGCTTCAAACTCCTGGGCATCACTGCTGAGGTCGCTCCACAGAGAAGAATCCACGACATCTAATGTGGTTTTGGGAAAGTCAGAAGTGGAGTAACATGTGAAACACAAACAGACCTTCACAAGTACCCATGTTTATGGATTCATCACACAATAAACGTGCTATAAACAGAAACAACTAAGCCAAAATACTGTTGTTATGGAGTTGAAACATCTGAAAACCAAGACTGCACTCATGAAGGCAAAGAAGAATCAGATATTAACACAATGGTTATGTTTATACTTAAAAAAAAAAAAAAAATTTGAAGATTCTTCTGTTTGTTTTGGCTCGCTCTGTTTCAGTTTTACTTTTGGTAACCTTCAGCGTCCACGTGTGCTTGAACACAGAATCTTTTGCCCTGGGCTGTTTCACACTATTTACTCAGATTTGAATTTTGTATTTGTCCACTTTATTTTATCTTTTCTTGGTTTGCTGTCCTTACTATAAACATGGCACATGGTGTCAGGACGCAAGCCACATGAGCACAAGAGTTTTCTGACAGAATTTGACAACACACATACACACCCTTCAGGAAAATGAAGAGCTGTTTTGTCCAAATAGCACTCCTAGAAGTGATTCCAGCTCAGAGCAATAAACATGACATGGCAATGAACTTAAAGTCTTAAGTTTAAAATTAAAAACAAAAACAAAACAAAAAACACAGATTCCTGGGGCAGAGTCTACACTTTTCTCTTGTCACTACTCTCCTTTCATTCGGTTTTCCTTCATTTATTGATACAACTTGGATATGATAAGTAATTCCCCACATTAAGTCATACCTTACAAAATATGCTCTTTAAAAAAATGTTTTTATTCCCCTAGAAGTGGGAGGCAACAGATGACAATAAATATCCCAGAGTTCCAAGCAAGTCCTTTCTTAACTAACTGAAATATATCTTTTTAATGTATAATCCTATTTCAATTCCATTAATAGCTATAAAACTTTTTAAAAGAATAACCAACATACAAGGCATGCCATTCTCATCATTATATTTATGACATATGTCCACTAAAAAATACATCATGTTTCCTTGGTCACTCTATGGAAATCTTCTTTGGGTCTAAATTTTCTTTTTTTCTTTCTCTCTCTCTTTCTTTCTTTCTATTTATTTATTTATTTGTTTGTTTGTTTGTTTATTTATTTATTTATTTATTTATAGAAAAACCTATACCAAGGATACACCATGAAACAGAATTAAAAAGAACAAAGAATATTTTTTTAATCTTATATCCTTCAGAAAATATTCCTTTTGGCAAATGCTCACAGAAACACCAGTACATGCCAACATCTTTTTCTCACCTTCCATTAAGAAAGAATCCGTGGAGGGGGATGAGCCCATGGACTGTAAGAGCTCATCGGAATGAGACCTGCTTCTCCAGGCGTTCGCGTCACTCTCAGATTCCAAGGCTGGCCCTGGCCTCCTGCGGTGGGGGGAGGGAGAAGAGTTAGCCCAGCAATAGCTCTGAGGTGAGAAGACGTAAAACCACACAGACTCACCTGTCCAAGGTGGTGCCGGGAACACTTCTGGACAGTGGATGGGCCGGCCCCGCGGTGTCTTTCCTCCCAGCCGGCAAGCCGATGGGCATGGAGGAAGAAGGATGCAAGGAGAGACCAGCCAGGGGGACGTCTCTAAATGAAGAATCTGGAAATCAGAATGGATGCTTCATGTGTTTTCATAGAGGGCAGTAATTACAAGAAGTACAGGAGGCGAAACACTCAGTGGCCTCTTCTAGCGTTTCACATGCTCAGCCTTGAAGCCAGTTCCCTCCACATCCCAACACCTGCTTCCGAATGTCCCTTCCATGTCACACCCTCCTGACAGCAGGTGACAATATCCACTTGGAGACTATGGGTGGCTGGGATTAGACAAACAAACAGGAAAATGGGACAGGGAAACACTGCGGCAGCTTTCTCATAAACCACTGCTTGTCCTCCCCAGAGCCAGCTTCGAAGAGGTGCAACGTGTCATTAGCACTATGACTAGAATGCATAGTGTGTGTATAAGCAAGCACACGCACACACAAAGCCTGTCAATGGATTGGAATGATGTTGGGGAGTCTGTGTCTTTATGGTCTGTGAATTTCAGGCAAATAAAAGCCACGCTGAGCCCATGGGCTGTAAAAGCTCATCAGAATGAAACCTGCTTCTCCAGGTCTCTCACATACTGAAAACTAAGTGGTGCTTCAATGCCTTTCTGGCCATTTCTGAAATGCTGTGGCCATAGGTGCATTTACATTTGCTGGATTCTATCTATACCTCCCAGAAAATATTTTAGTCCTATAATAGCATAGCTGTCACAGGCACCTTCTCAAGCAAAAGGGGGATATTACAAGGAATTTGACACATGCATGATTTAATGTTATTCTTGTGACTCCCAAATAAAGAAAGGGAATGGATGGTATTTTATTAATTATAAGATGTTTTTTATTTTCATGCTTAACCTTATGAAAATGAGAAGTACCTTAAGCTCAGGTCAAAGGAACTCCGGTGTCAGAAGAGCCAGTTATTTATGTCTCAGCTGTACTGACTGCATTAGCTCAACCTGTGTAACATCACCTCCCAATCGCATGTCACCATGAAGATGCATACCTCCTTATCCCCTAATTCAAGAGGTTTTAAAAAACCCAGTTCACACTTCGTTACAGCCTTGAAATGAAAAGGGATCACAAACTTCAAATGCAGGTCACATGGCAAACAAGGCCACGTGAGGCAGAAGAATTGCTAATCTCTCACAACACATCAAAGGATTTCAAACATAGGAGATGATGGTATGGCTGGTTCTTGCATGCAACATAAGGAACTGTGAAAGGCTGCAGTTACATTCAGGAGGAATTGTTTAAATTTTATATATAATTCAATGAAAAATAGGACCACCAAATCTAACAATATGCAAACAAAACTTGGATAGATCTTGACATTTCACAGCCATCCTAGAGGAGCTAAGGAGATTCCAGCCTCAAGCACAACTAAGAAAAACACCAGGTTGTTATGGTAATAAACAGAGAACGATAAGAATCTATAAATTCCAAACTTGAAGATTTCTCTCCTAATTTTGTGATTCTGAAGAAGTGTGTGGTGTGTGCTTGTGTAGATAAAAATGTGCTGCTAGGAAAACATAAATCATGTGCATTTAATGTATTTATTTTCCCTTAAAAGGTTATTAAATCGGTAGTGCATGTTATGCCAGATTGCATCTTAGAATTGAGGCAAAATCATAATACCTCTTCCATATAGTCCTCCATAATATAAAAGAATATGACCTCCATGCTATGCACCTGAAACTAATAGAGAATAACATCGAATGTAAACTGTAATTGATTTTGTTTAAATCATGCAGTAATGTCGTACAAAGGCTTTTAGGTTGCCATAGAAGTTTACACCATTCTTGATCTCTTTGTATACTGGTAACTAAAAATTATGCCAAGCATTTGTTCTGAAAGAAGAAATAATTGGGCAAATGAGAAAACAAAAGTTGGGGGTATTTTACATTGGAAAAAAATTATGGAATATACGAAATTGGGAAAGTTCTAGTTTTCCACATCACTTACTTCCAAGGATGGTCTGTGGTTTGTTCTTGTTAAATTTCTCTTGGAGTTTCTGGTAAAGAACATCAGAAACACATAAAATAAGATCAAAGCACCAACAAACAACAAGAATGTCCACACAGTTAGTACACAAGATAGGATTCTTATCACATCATTTTCATTATTTCAAAGAGGAATTCAAGGCAAAAGACATTAAAGGCAACAAAGAAAAATGTTATGGTAATGAGATGCTAAGTTATAATGAATGTGTGCTTCATGAACGTGAGTCTCATGAATATCCCAGCTTTATTAAAAGCCTAGAGGCAGACAACCCTAGCTCGCATTGAAAGGGGAGTTTCTATCAGCTATGCCTTTCTCCCACTTGTTGCTTTCCATCCTGGCTATTCCTCCTGCCTACAGGACACAACTCTGCACAATAGACATCGCCCTCAACTCTGTGGCCTGACACAGCGTGTGATGCAGTTCACATGGAGGTTGTGACTCTGAGTTTCCCTCTGAAAGTTCCTCATGCTTTCTTACATGCGTTCCTGACATGTCTTCAAAGTGGAAAGAGGGGAGTAGGATGATAGGTGCCCATCTACTCAAGCCCACCCCCAAACACTGAGCACATTCTTCTAGTCCCGCGAGCCTTAGCATAGTCCCGGACCAGCAGCATCTCTGGGGAACTTGTTAGAAATGCAAATTCTCAGGCCCAACCCAGACCTCCTGGGTCAGAAGTTCTGGAAGGAGCGCCCAGAAATCTGTGTTTTAACAAGTCCTACAGGTGCTGATGGGGTTTGATGTCTGAGAATTACTGCTTAGGCTTCATTTACATATAAGCAGGGTTCACACTGGTAAACCAAGCAGGTTCCCGCAGGAAGGCAGACCCACCCCTCCTCACTGCCTAATTCTGGTGGCCAGACTGCGTTTTCCCTCCAGCTCTGGGAGCACACAGAGAAGGGACTAGCCCTACACTTTGAGCGTGTGTGATTTTGTCATTGCAGTGATCGTTCTAGAAATAAATCTAGATGATAACTGAGGAGTCACAACCTAAACGGATCATATGAAGCATATGAGCCAGAGAGAAACATGCACATGCACAGGTGACAGCGGTTACCTTGGGACATGGAGGTGCGGCATCTTTACAACTTTTATGTACACTTGCAGTACAGTCTGTAACAAAGGGAAGAGATTTTTTTTTTTAAAGTGTCATATTTAAGTTAATCAGAACATCGTGGTTTTACTGGTCATTATAAAATAGCACATTCACACTAAAATATATTTAAGAAACATAAGGAAAAAAATACTAACTGATGTGGAGCCCCACTACACTGTCCATTGTCTGATTTCCCTGGAGGTACCGCTCTCCTTTTTGCAGAGGGACTCATCCATTCCGACACCTGGAGTTTCACACGACTTACATGTCTGTGTCTGCCTGAGAACTCGCTTGCTATTATCGGCCTGTATTGTAAGCGATTTCAGACATCTGGCTGGTAGCAACTGCCCACTCCCACACCAGGTAGAATGCCGATGGAAGTGGAAAGAAAAACTCACACCACCACTGAGGGGGAAAAAAATATCATTGGCTCCGACAGGAATGCTTACGAACCAGAGGTAGCCAAACTAAAAGAGGAAAGTTAGTGGCCTGTGTTTTTCTCCAAGAAACAACGTGGCCTCATCTCCCTGAAAGATGTAAGGGAACACCTTGCCTGCCTTTTTCTGCCACTGGCTCAGAGACCCAAGCTGTCCTCACCTAAAACTGCCCCAGCGTGGGGACTGCTTCCTGCCAGGCTGCTGTCTCCATGTCCTCCCTGCCCTCCCACACGCCAGGGCCACCCTATCCCACCCACCCCCATGCCCTGTATAGATGCAGGAACCTGTGGCTTATCAAAAGCTCCATGAGAAAGGATTCTCCAACCATTTAGGTCCATCAAAGCCACACTGTGCAGGAGGTTGAACCCAACCACCCTCCCTCCTGTGGGTCTACAGAGGCATTTCAGCCAACACCACAGTGGCCAGTAAGCAGGGCCCAGGCTGACCCGCAAGCTGGTCCTGCTGGCAAACATGGAAACCAGAAGCCCTCTCTTCATTCCAGAATAAGCAAATAAAAAAACAATAAAGAAAAAAAGAAGCTGTGAGCTACCCTAGCACAAAATTATACTGAAAACAAACAGGTAGAGTGAGCCACAAAGTATTACTGAATTCAGAAAGAGAGAAATTTTTAGATATTTGAATGTATTCTCCCGAAGAGACATGAAATAGGCCCCACCGGCCATGAAGGAGGAAGATGTGAGGGCAGCAGGAGAGGAAGAGGAGCTCTGAGAGATGAAACAGGACTGCGAGGAGGGAGAAGGTGGAGAGCAGAATGTGAACCGTGAACCGGGTGTGAAGAATCAATGCGACAGAAACATCAAAGCAGCACTTTGAAATTAAACTTGAAAGATTTCCTCCAGAATGTGGAGAAAAAGAAGGTTATAATCATAAAATAAAAGGTGTCATACAAAAAAAGACAGATAACAGAGATCACACCTCTCCAAGGAAAAAAATATGAAAAACTAGATCAGAAGCAATAGTCAAAGCGACAACTGACAAAAACTCCTTTTAAAGCTAACAACCCACCCACCCCACCCCTGCAAAAAAGATAGATCAAAAGCTCTGTTTCCTAGAAAAAATAACTAAATGAAACCTATTCTATAGAAACATTCTGACGATATCTGTATGATTAAAAATTGAAAAGTCCTCAAGTAGACAAAGCAGGTCACCCACAAAGGAATAAGGTCAAGCAGGCCCCAGACTTTTCTGCTACAATTTTAAATGCTCAGATAGAATGGACCAGTGTTGACAGAGAATTGAGGTAGAAACATTTAGCCTAAGAACTTGGCCAGATAAATTGCTTTTTGTGTGTGAAAGAAGCAAAGATATACCCTTAGATGTACAAGATTTCAGAAAACAGACAAATAACCTTCTTTGAATTTAATCTAAGGCAATAATAATCTTCGAAAGGTATTAAGAGCAGAATCAAATCTAGGAGTTCACAAATAAATCCAATTTTATTTTTTAAGGAGCAAAGTGGGCTAAACAAAGAACCACAGCTAAAAAATTGTTGTAAGTAGAGACACAGAACTGAACACAAATAGCAAGTTGGTCTTGAAATAGAAAACTATTTCTAAAAGATTATGCCCGTAATATAAAAACAATAATTTAATGATGAATTGGTATACTAACAGAGGCTAGAAGTAAAAAGAGTAAATAGAAGGGAAATAAAAGAGTATGTAATTATAAGCTTTTCATAGCCCTAAAGTTAGTATTAATAGATAATAAAAGAGCATATCTCCTTGCCAAATCTATGAAAAAGATAAAAGCAAATAACTAACCCAGACATCAAGAAAAATAGCATAGAATTATAAAGGATAGTTGATAGCTGCAAATGCAAATTAGAAAAAAGATGTTATAAAACAAGGCCTCTCCGTTACATTACAGAGCACCTAAGCCCAAAATAAAGACGCACACACCAAATCAAGACCACAGAGTTAGGTAAGGGAAATACAAAGGAAAGGAAAGCAAGAGGAATATTAATTTTAAACAAAGTAAAATTTGATGCAAAAGGCATTTAATGGCATTAGAAATTAATTTTATGTTGATGAAAGTGAAATCTGCAATGAACTGTAACTTCAAAATATAAGCAGTACAATCTACTTATAAACAAGAAAAAACTTATAAAAATACAATTTTCATGAAAAACTAACAACTCAGGCTATAACAAAAAAAAATTATGGACACCAGGATTTTTTTAAATGTATTTTTATTGATTTTAGAGAAGAATGGAGAGAGAGAGATAGAAACATCAATGATGAGAGAGAATCATTGATTGGCTGCCTTCTGTACATCACCTACTGGGGATGGAGCCTGCAATCCAGGCATGTATCCTGGACCAGAATCAAACCTGGGACCCTTCAGTCTGCAGGCTGGCGCTCTATCCAGTTAGCCAAACCAGCTAGGGCCACCAGGATTTTCAATATTTATATCATATTTTGTTTCACATCATATTTTTAAGGTTAGAAATACTAACTTTCATGATTAAAAACAAAACTATACCAATGAAATAGGATTATTTGTCAAAAACAGCAGAGATTGGACATGTCATATTCTCTTATCCAATGTGTAAAAAAAAACAACCTTAATGTATTATAACTAAGAAGTTTAAAACTCTAACACTCCCTATCCCCACAACTATAAATCTTAAAAACTTCTTCTAAAAAACTGTGGGTTAAAGAGGAAGTCAAATGTATATTCATACTGATTCTAGAATTTAATCTAAAGCAATAATCAAAGATGTGTACAGTTACATGTGCAAACGAATTCTCAGTGCAACATTATGCTGGGGAAAACTTAAACGTACACTACGGTAAGTAAGGAATAACTAGACACATGTGATAGCATCCTCAAATAAAACATGAGCATAACAAGCTGACTTTTTTTTTATTAAAAGGGACTCCATCAAAATATTAAGTAGCAATGTTCTCTAGGTGGTAAATTTTGGATAACTCCAAGCTTCTCCTTAAACCATATATCTTATATGAATTTTATTAGATTAAAATTACTACTTTAAAAGCTGAACACAGCCTATGTACTTTCACCAATCTCCATCTTCCAATAAGACTTCCATGGCAAATCAGTAGGAACCAACATATTCTATACTACCAAGATCTACTTTTCAGCAAGCCCTGGCTCCCTAAGCTGCATCAATTACATCCGAGTATCTAACTACATATTATTAATTATATATTAACTACATATGACTGTCTAAGGGCCCAGCTTAGTGATGGCTGCTGAAGGGGATACAAAAGAATTGTATGATTATAGTCCTTAAATAACTTAATGTCCATTTTAGTAGTTAAAATCAAAAGAGGTTGTACATAACCCGGTATTAAACAGAATAAGTAGGTCATAAACGTGATGTGTAAGAATTTAGGCCACAGCAGTCAGGGAAGATCTCCCAAAACGAGGTGGGAAATGTGGATTGACATAGAGAAGGGGAAACTGAGAAAAGGGAGATTATAATCACAAGTGAAGGAACAGAGGCAGGAAACCCCGCAGGAGGGGAGAAGAGGACAGCAGGCCTGGCTCAGCCCCCGGCTGTGAGGCTGAAAGGGGAACTAGCCGGGGACTGGCCAGCAGGAGGCAGACCAGGAACCACAGCCAGCAGAAGAGCTTGGGCTTGTCCAGGAAACAAACAGGAGAGAAGCTCTTTTGTGCATGTGGGCTGTTGAAAGTGGCGTTTTACGAAGACTGATGTGGTAAGTGTATTCAGAATAAACTGGAAGTGAAAATACCTGGAGAGGGAAACTAATGCAATTTGCTCTCAGCAGTCCCCAGGAGGGTGATGAGAATGTACGTGAGTGGTCCCAGGGAGATAGGAAAGGAAACAGTGGTGGGGGGACTGGTCCCAGGGAGGCAGGGAAGGAAAGAGTGTGGGGACTGGGGTGAGGGGAAGAGACAAAAGGGAAGAGTCGTCAAGGTGGCCAAGGTCTGAGCTTGTATTATACCATTAATGCAGCAAGAAGGACGACCTTTCACATAAAACATGTGGGTGGTGATGCCCACAGTGAGGGTCACCCTGAGCCTGTGTGACTGGGACAGTCTTAGTTTATTATCCCTGTAGTTCTTCCATACTCTCCAAAGTGGCCACACATTACCTGATTGCTCAGCCTCTCTAGGCAGCTGGAAATATGGAAGTAGAACGTGGGTGATAAAGACATTAATCTGGGAAGATAGGCCTAATTATAGTACTTTAGAACAAATGATTGCATGACTATTAACAAAGAAACAATAAAGGGGAGTGAACAAATGCGTAAGAACTGAGTTTGGAGGGCCTCAGGAAAAAGGAGACAACACCCGTGGTAAACAGGAGAGAAGTGGGCCATGGAAAAGAGAACGTTTACCTAAGTGGAGGGGCAATCGACAGGAGCACAGACTCTCAGACCTGACTAGAAAGTGATGCCAAGTTTCCGTCAAAAGCAGGATTTCTGTTCCATGCTACAGACAGAGGCCAACATACAGGTGGCAGGGGAAGAAGTGCCAGGGCCAGACATCAGAGCGGGGAGTGCCGATCACCCCCTTGAAGAGTTTACCTTAAAATGAGGGGAGAGAACGATGGTGATGTGGCTGGTGGAGCCATGGGGGGATCAGCCTGGCGAACAGGGTGGACTGACACCCTGGGGAATGGGTGCCATCGCACCCGATTATAACCACCTGCTGACAGGCAGGCAAGCCGGAAACAATCCGCAGCAATACTTACAGCAAATTTCTAAAAAATTAGCAACCTAAATCAAATCTGAACTGCTTGATTCTATTTCAGATCCCATAGAAGAAAGAAATCAAGTATTTGCCAAGGAAAGCAAAGCTCAAACACGTGCAGGGCTGGTGTCATCAAATACTGACAACAGTGAGAAGAGGCAAGCCACCTTTAAAGCCATGTGTGGATTGCATTATCCTGATATGTACAACTATCAACACAGTTCGATTCTTAATTGAATCATTTCCTAGGAATTTAAAGAGACTTACATGGAAACGTTCCCTTGCTCTTCTCTTTCCTTTATGCTCCCATCCCATCTCCAATGCTACCCTCTAACTCCGGCCACCAACAAATATCATATTGTAAAATGCATTTCACCTGCCTGGGCCTGAATTCTTTGGCTCTGAATAATTATTTCACTCCACAAGTATTTACTAAGCTGCTATTCACAAGGCATTGGTTCTGGGCACTGTGGGTGCCATTAACAAAGAGGGTCAGCTTGAAGGTGGGCACGGGGGAATGGCAGAACAGAGCTCCGTTTTGGACATGTAGCATTTGAGAAGTTTCTAGACACCCAAATGGAGACATTTAAAACAGTGAGATATGTAGTCTGGGCTCTGGGAGGTTGTGGATAAAAAGTATTGACTCAAACCATCATGGGTCATTCATTCTTGGTAAGCTGTTAAATCATACGTGCAGTACTAAGACAAATGTCCACGTGAATATGCTTAGCAATGACCCTGGCCTCAGGGATTTTACTGTCTGGGGATGCAAAGCCCAAAGACCCCGCGTACAAACCCCAAGAACTTACTAGAACACTGAAATGATTCTTTCCCCAGGAGTGTTTTATCACAAACCAAACACTGCAGAACTCCAGAGAAAGTTCCAGGGACAAATTGATGTCGACTCAGCTTCTCTTTGTCTTTGGCATCCTTGCTTTTTGTCTTCAGATAGAGCAGCAGCAGCAGAAAAATGGGGGGAAATGAGAAAAGAGAAATGAGAGCCAATATCTTTGAGAAGTCATACAAAGTCCCTACATTTCTATCAGACTACAAGGACTGTAATCCATGGGTACCATGATGCCAACATGTACTATAACTCAGATGTATTGTAGTTGTCTTAGCATTTCTGATGACTTAGGCAATACTCCATATAAAACATACAGGTTTTCAAATATGTGTAAAATCTGATGTAAATTATTTTAAAGGGGGAGGAGAAACTATGTTAATTGCTGAGAAACTGAGCCATTTATGTTTATGCATGATAGGCACCAAATCTTAACTACCTTAGATTTATTCCGAGGGCTAGTCATCCGATTCATGATGAAACTGAAAGTTCGGCTCACTTTGTACTTTTCAGAATCCGATTTGGCAGGTATGATGTATTTATCCCATTCTTCTTCTGGAATTCTACAAAAAATAATCTGTATTCTTTCATGGTTTATAGAATTTAAAGAGGGAGCAAAATACAGCATATGCTTTTATACATATATATTTATACATTATATATATATATATATTTACACATATAGATATGTTCAGTTTTAATTGTTATTCTAAAGGTAAAGATACAAACTATTAAAATATATCTTATAGATGGGTAGGTAGATGGATAAAGCAACTAGTTGATAGATAACAACTAACAATTACAGAATATAAGTAGTAGAGGTAGGTATTCAGTATATAATTCTTTTAATTTTTCTGTATACTTTACATTTTTTTCATAATGAAGTATTGGAGAAATAAAGAATAACTCAGACTTATAATTTTACTCTGAAAATATTCATCTCTCTGTTTATTATACTATTAATAATAGAATTTTCCTCAGGCACAGAGAAGCCAAAAAATCAACAATAAAAAGTGTATTTTCTGTATTTTTGGAACACAGAGATAATACTCAGCAGACAGATATTTCCTTTGTCAATATGGCCTGAGAAACAGGCTGTCTGCCACCTGGTTCTGTCTCTCCTACTTGGTCAAGCTATTTGCAACCTGAAACTCTTTAGGTTACAAAGGAGAGAAAACTGTGGATACTCCCCCCAAATAAGAGGCAAACTAGAGGCAATTGTACTCAATCCATGAACACACTGAACATCATTTATTTACCTCTAATCCATATAATCATTCTTTAAGAAAAAAATAAGTCCCAGCTATAAAAAACGGTATTTCCCCCTGGAACTTTCTCTGATAGTCTTACATTGCTAATATTATAACAGAGAAAGAGAGAATATGTTAAAATCAACCTAACTATGTATCATGTCAAACCAGGTAACACTTCTGTAGACTGAATATTTTCAAAATGAAGATTTCATAAGCAAAGTCTTTTCTATCCCCCACCCTTGCAAACAAAACAAAACAAAACAAAACAAAACAAAAACAAAACAAAAACAAAAAAAACCCTCATTTGTGAAGATTAGTGGCTAACACATTCAACTCCGGGAAATACTTTCAAAAGCAATCTAAGACTTCAGTTTTCTCATCTGATCAATGACAGGCTTAAACCAAATTATTTCTAAGGGCCCTTCTCACACTTAAATATAAAATGTAGTTATCTGGTACATATGAAACAAAACTTTAAGTTATTTAATCTCTATACTAGATAATGGAGAGTTCAAACCTATGAATGTGTTGTTGTTTTTTAAATAAATAAATAGCTTCAGAGCTGCCTCTTGGTCACGCAGATCCAAAGGCATAGTCAGGACAGTGCCCTGCTTTTCAAATCCTGCCCAGTAAGTGAAACTGGGTTTGCTATTTAAGACAGTTGAAAAAGTCAGAAAGGAAAGAGGGTGAATAGAAGTGAATGTATCCTATAACTACTCAAAGTAACAAAAAGGAACTCAGACTCTATTATTTCCTTTCTACTTCATGGCCACTTCCTTAGATAACTGATTAATATAACCTATAAAATTTCATATCTCTTATGTCTTAAGCACCCTAATTTTCAAAACACGCAGTATAATATGCAACAGGCTCACTTTGGGAGTGGGAGAAAAACACATTTGAGTCACAAAAGGTGCCTCCCAATATCTAAGAGGACAGTAGTAAACTGAGTAGACTAAACCTCAGAATTAAAGAATGGTGAGGTCAGCCGGGACCGGTTTGGCTCAGTGGATAGAGCGTCGGCCTGCGGACTGAAAGGTCCCGGGTTCGATTCCAGTCAAGGGCATGTACCTTGGTTGCTGGCACATCCCCTGTGGGGGGTGTGCAGGAGGCGGCTGGTCGATGTTTCTCTCATCGTCATTTCTAACTCTCTGTCCCTCTCAATTCCTCTCTGTGTAAAATCAATAAAATATATTTAAAAAAAAAAAAAAAAAGAATGGTGAGGTCAATGTGGATTTGAGATCAAGAAGTCCTCTCTCCTACCTCCCAGCAAGAAAACAAGTAAACTCTCTCAAATAAAAGAAAATTATGTATTCCAAATCACCGTGCTACAGAAGAGAATATCAAGAACAACATTCCAATTTTGATTTAAAACGTTTACATGCACCACAATTTAACATGTATTCTACATACTTGTACAAAATTATGTAAAATTATACCACTTAACTTAAAAGCTCAAAGGCTGAGAAGGCCTGAGACATGATCATGTAAACAATAATAATCTATATAACAAGTAGGTACTGTGGTAAAGAACTGAGAAGGGCAAGGTCCTCAACTGATTTCATAACAGAATTTAAGTAGCTTTCACTTTATAAGAATCTGAAGGGAAATATTTTAAACTCTTTCAACATCCCAGAACAAAAATGCCTAAGCTCCATTATCAATTTGATGCCCAGTGGAATCACCCACAATAAAATTCTACAAGCCCCATTCTTCAGAGTCTGTCTTGGTATTGCCTTTTTTAATTGGTAAGTAGATATTTAAAATCTAAAGAACATCTTAATCTTTAATTTATTATCTCTATAACCTATTTTTTTAAATGAAAACTGGGCATTTAAATGTTAAAAAGTTCCCACTATCCACATTGAAAGTTGACACAGTGTGATTCTTTGAACACTCAGCTGCTCAAAAAAAAATTTTTTTTTTAATAGAAAGTAACAGATGTAGTAAATTTAAGACAGATGGTGGCAATAAAATAAGTGAGTCATGCCATACAGCATTTAAGAAGTTAGGATAGGTAGAGTGTCAGCTCTGCAGAAATGAGCCTGCAAGGTCTGGAGAGAGCTTCCCTTTTACCTGGCTGCATCCTTTTCCAGAAATGAAGTAATTACTACACATAAAAATGCCAGTGTAGGAGGACCCTCAAGTAAGTATGTATATTATGAGAAAAGCAAACCATAGGTATGGCCAGGGCTCTTCCTGGCATATCCAACAAGATATCAGGAGCAGAACAGGTGAGATAAAATGTCTATTCTACTAGGTACATCAGGGCAGCGATTTTCAACCAGTGTGCCACCAAAATTTCTAAAACATGCAATGCTTGACTGTTTAGTCAGGGACACTGACCTCTTTTCCCTTGGACTACCAAATTAAAAAAAAAAAAAAAAAATGACACCAGCCAACACAATAGCCATCCAGTGTGAATGAATCAAAATTTTCCCAGATTGGCAAAAATATATTTTTTCATGTGCCACAAGAGTTAAGCAATCGGTTTGTGTGCCATGAGTTGGAAGAGGTTGAAAATAGCTTCACGAAGGCATATGACTGAGAAAGTCAGATGCTTTCAGGATGTGGATTAATGGGCAATAAAGAATAGAAAAGGGGTGGGGGGGACGGAATGACAGAAAATGTGGAATCAAGAGAGAAAAGAAAACTCCTTACACATCACATCCAAGTTAAAGCATTTTATTGGCTAATATTTAACCAATTGTGACATTGGTTTTTCTAGCATTACATCCCTCTCCTAATGGAAAAGAAATGTGTTTTATTTTTAAATCTTGACAGTCCATTACTTTTTCAATTGTGAGAAAGATGGCAGAGAGAAGATTGCTAATCAAAATGACAACCAAGATCATGAACAAATTCCAGAATTAGTAAAATGGTCAAAAGGAGTAATAATTGTAAGCAGCTCCAAACAGCACAAATAAAAAAATAAAAAATAAATAAAATAAAAAAACACTCAATAAATGCTTCTGCCATCATCATCATCACTGTTATCCTGCCATCTTCATCAACATCCTATTCTTAAAGGACATTCTTAGTCTTCCTCTGGTTTTCTCAGTTCTAAGTTTCTATTCTGGTCTCAAAATATAAGAATAAACAAAAGGAGGCTTTTTTTTTTTATTAGTACTTTTATTCTAAGACTTTAATCACAATAGTCTATCTTGATCTGTATATTAAAAGGTTTCTGAGTTTCAGCATTAATATCACCAAAATTAAAACCATTTTCTCTTTTTTATATATTCTCTTAATGCCAAACATTTCTGCTGTGTCACAGTGGGACTCATGCATGGTTAGTTACTTGAGACCAAAAGAATTCAAAGTCTTGCCTGCTCCCTAGTCAACTTCCCAAACTCGTTGACAGTAATTTGGGGGAGGAGGAGGAGAGGTGCTTAGGCATACAGCTTTCAAACCTGCATATCAATTAGAAAACTGATGATGGTTATAGCACTTTGAACATTATGCATTCTTTGTTTCAAACTTAACACTCCTACACACTACTCCATACAGACAGGTAACAGATGTTTAGGCACTTTCTATAACTGACTGCCCACTATCTGTTGTCATAGTAAATAAATCTTCTTGTCATGGCAGGCCTACCTAGCCAAATCCTGATGCCTTTTTATTTTATTTCCTTTTTTTAAAAAAAAATTAATTTCAGAGAGAGAGAGAAAAGGAGAAAGAAACATAGATTTGTTGTTCCATTCATTTATGCACTCATTGATTGCTTTTTGTATATGCCCCGACTAAGGATTGAACCTGTAACCTTGGCTATCAGGATGATGCTCTAATCAAGTAAACGAGCAGACCACAGCCTGATGCCTTTCTAAAGCAGGTGGTCTTCACACTGTTCCCCGTGGTCCCATATGTTATAATTGTTTGGCTTTGACAATAACCCAATAGAATACTCTGTCCCCAGTCTGGGGACAGAAAGGAGCAGCTAGCTAGCCACCTATACAGATCACAAAGGAAGCCGAGGATTTAAGCAGGCCCATTGCATAAAAACTTCACAAACTATTAATGTGCACACATTTCCAAAAGTGGATCAAGCAGTGCCTCTGGAAATTTGGAACAGTTAAAATACCTTTTTTCTTCTGGCGGCTCTGGTAAACTGTAAGCTCTTTGCTCTACAAGACACAGAAAATAAAATGAAAACCAAGGCAGACAAACTAGCAGTCACGTATTAGTCTGAAATGCACACACTCCACCCTATTTTGTCATTACGTACACCACCAGTTACGAGAAAACACGTCACTTTATATAAGTAGGTCATTGCTCTGCGTATCTTTACTACTTTCCCTAGTTTGGGGAAGAGGCCAAAACATGGCAACATTTAATGGTTCTATGAACAAAGTTAGCATCAGCAAGGGCAGCCAATGTTTTAAGAAGTGCAGAAAACTAGTTCCATCTTTTTTTTTTTTTTTAATATTTCTCACCAGAGCTTTATCTCTTTTTATAACACTAATTTCCCAACATACAGAATCAATAGATGCCTTAGCTACTTTTTAAGCAAAGCTAAAAAGAAGTCTTGAAGGCCAGTCTACAGAAGAGCCCATTTAAATAGAACTGCAATGCCTTTACAAAATCCTAGCAGCAGCCAGTTCAGAGATGTGCCTTGTGGCTCATGGGAAAGGGAAGACCACCTGTCCTATTGGACTTCTCGGGGGTAGAAGGACAGGCTCATGCAAGCAGCTCAGCGCCATCTGGTTTTCGGAAGGAACTGAAGTACTTACTACAGGGGTGGAGCAGAGCCACTGATTTAGACAGGGAGAGAGACTGATGGAGGGAGCAGCCACTGTGTTGCACAGAGCAGGGACAAATCCTTTACCATTACAGTCCAGAAGCTTGAAGAGGCAAAACTAAATTGCAAAGAAGATGGGCCAGGTATATAAGAAGGAACACTAATAAATACATATCCCTGAAATGTGTAAATATCAATGTTGAAACTTATTCTATCTTGTAGGTAACATAAAATCTACTTTGAAGAATTTGAAGGCTTTATTTTATTGCTATTAAATGTCCCACAAGTTAATTTCTGGGCAGAAATCAGTATCTTTATTGTAAATAGGCTGAGGTACAAGAGGTACCAAGAGAATAAAGCTTCTTGTTCAAAGTAATCGAGCTAATAAGGTAACAGACCCAGACTCAGCCAACTGGACAAAGTTTAAAAAGATTCCATCCATCAGTGCACAGTAATCTCCAAAAGTACATTTAGTTCACTCCTCAGATTCCTAAATGTAGAACACTTTTGTCCATCTTGGTAAGGTTATAATCATCATCAAAATATTGAGAATATCCCTTTCTATCTAAACCTATGATGTACCAAAGGGAATGTATACATCATACAACCCTATGATGTTTAGGGTTGGATTTTGTTTTATGTATATAAGCATTAAGTGATAAAATTGCTGCCATTGTACTCTTGGCTCAAAAAAGGATGTGACATAACAATAGTAGCCCTTTGGAAGTGACAAGGGAGAGAGATCACAAGTAAAAATAAAAAGGCAAAAAGACCATCCTATCTTCATGTAACTGTATTATAGCTCATATATGGGAGTTTTCACTGGGGCAAAAGCAGAATTGAAATAGAGAAAATGTTTAGAACTATTCAAAACTCACTGAGAGATTTCTAACCCCACAAATATCCATTTACCCCTGATTAAGCAAATTAAACACTGAAATTATTGGAATACACTTTTGAACCTGTCACATTTTCACACCTGTGTTTTGATCACAGTTAAAAGTACTCCTTCTTCCTTAAGACTTAATTTATTTTTCATAATCCAATAGTTTTGACTAAGATACATGGTGTCAATCTAAACCTTGGCCACCACACAGGAGTATCTGTTGGAATCTATACATTTAGTGTGTAGCTTTAATCTAAATTACCTGTAATTCTTACCTTTTGGAGAATATCAAACTTCATTCAAATAGTCTTGTTTTAAAATATACAGTCTAAAGATAAGCTTTTATTCACAGAGAAACCAAAGGATGTCAGTTTTTATTCTGTCTAATTCAATTGCTAAGAGTTAAAGATTGTATGTTAGGCAGCGATACCCTTCCTTATTCATTAAAGAATTAACAAGGAAGCGCTCTTTTCCCTTATAAACAATCAGTTTGCTCTTAGTCATCTGCTCAGTAATTTCAAACTTGAAGGATATGACTTGGAAAATCAGGGCTATTTCAGATATAAAGGCAAGGCTGCCATTTTGCACATTTAATAGAAGACTTCAAGGTGTTTTCCAAATAGTTATGGTATAAAGTGAATCCGTTACCTAGGACTCTGAGTGGAAAGGTATCAAGCTGCCATTAAGAGGACTCCCAACCTAAACTAAGATTAGGGAATGGGAGATCTTAGAAATACTCGTGTTATTAAAATAGAATAAAAAACCCAGGGCAAATTCAATACATTTTTTCCTGTCCTCTAAAGAATAATTGTACCCTTTTCTTCTCTTAGTCCATTTCTCTATCTTCTTTTCCAAAAATTAACATGGACAACATATGAGTAGTCTTGCTTTCTCCTCTTCCAAAAGACTTCCCAGAAAGGGTGACAGCAGTTGGAGGGTGGGCGGGGGTGGTGGGGATGCAGGGGGCACACCTAGTAACACTTGTTTTGTATTTGAAGTATCTTGACTACTGTATTTGTTCAACAAATATTTATTGAATATCTTCCATACCTAAGGCCCTGTTTGAATAGGAGCTCCAAGCACAAAGATTATGCTTACAATACTATTCTACATAGCAGAAAATGCAAAACAGCAATGTAATAAAGAATTTTAAAAAGGAAAGAAAAGGTGTAAAACAAATCTATTTTAAATATTCTACACTGAGAAGTTGAGAGTAATTAAGCACATCTCTTGTTTTCTGAATCTTTTAAGATTCTTAAGGATAACCCAAAAAAGCATTATCTAATACATTGACGAAAATTTTATTATAATGCTATATATTACAGAGTAGCATGAACACTTCCAAATATGTTTTGAAATGCAATTTTACATAACATATTATGTACAGAAAGTATGAAATAATTACATTTTAAAATCAAGTTGAAAATGGGTGCAGTCACTGAGAGGGGCAGCTCTGAGTTATCTGTAATTGTCCTATTTCTTTAACTGAAATCACTTTTAAAAGTTCATCTAACTATATGCTTATCATTTACACCCTTTTCTGTAGATATACTATATTTAAATTAAAATGTCATTGCATAAAAGTTACCTTTCTAAATGCTTACATTGCCACATAAAACCTTGAGATACATTTACTCATATTTCAAATATGATCTCTTATTTCAACTCCCTAAAGTCCCTTGCTAAAGAAAGAAAGAAAATGAATTTTGTAATGGTTTGCCTCTGAGGAGTTAGATTATTTCAGCAATTTATATATAGGGGAAGAGTAATTTTTATACTTTACTTAAATAAAATCTTCTAAAGCTCTCACAATAATGAACCTAGAATAAATTATAGCTTATACAATTTGAGGAATACATTTTATTCAAAGAATAAATCAATAGAAATATGTGTACAAATTTGTCATTTCATCAAAATCGGATCTTTAACTCATCTGATATCTAATGAGAAAAAGATTTTGCTAAACTTAGAAAAATCAATTGTGAAAATAAATGGAAAACTCTTGCCTGATGCCCTTGTATATTTTATGTACTTTTACTAAAACTCTGCCCTGGGATAGAATGCTTATGAAAAAGCATGGTAAATAATGCTCACCTTCACTTGAATTGCACACTGTAAAGTCACGCACCAACCGAGACTTTCCTAAAGAAATTTTGGGTGATGAGCAGGAATAAGAACGTGAGCGGACTCCAGAAAGTAGTAATTCCTAAAAGAGAGCATAATAAAGTTAAAAATGCTACATAAGTCTTGAAAGTATTATATGTTCACCATGAGTGTTACTAAATCAGCATCTTTGAAAACGTTTCAACCTGAACATTTCTGTTGTAATCTTTATTTTTTTCAATTTAAGTTTTATATTTTTTCTTTAATGATTAAGGTATTACATATGTGTTCTTATCCCCCCATTACCCTCTACCCATCCACTCATGCCCTCACCCCCCCCCCTGGTGTCTGTGTCATTGGTTATGCTTATATGCATGTATACAAGTCCTTTGGTTGATCTCTCCCACTTACCCACTCCCTCACCTACCTTCCCTCTGAGATTTGACAGTCTGATCAATGCTTCTCTGTCTCTGGATCTGTTTTTGTAATCTTATTATTTCTGTTTGACTCTCATTACTTTTAAAATTTTATTGTCTTTTTGAAACTTTGGGGAATAGTTCCTTTTATATACTTTAGGATGCAATTATGGCACCCCAATCAAGTTAGTTAAAAGTGAAAAATTAAGTCAAATGACTTTTCTCTGTACCTTTAATAAGTTTGACTTTTTTTCACCTGAATTGTCAGTTATTTTTCTTTTACACTGTAGCATTCAATCAAAATTCCATATTAATATATACTGAGTGGCCAGATTATTATGATCTCTGAACTCATAATAATCTGGCCACTCAGTGTATATCCTCTATAATATAAAGTTAAGATGCAAAATGTCCCCTCAACCAAGAGTCCGACCAGCAGGCAGGCCGGCCAATTGCCCATGTCCCCTCCCCCTGGCCAGGCTGACTGGACTGCCCACCCCCCATCCCCGCACGCGCACACACACACACACACACACACACACACACACACACACACTGAGTAGCCAGATTATTATGCGTTCAGAGATCTTAATAGTCTAGCCACTCAGTGTATATCTCTATACTTAATGAGCATTAGAAGGTGGAGGGATAGCCACTTATAATTGGAGGGGTTTAAAAAACTTACAAATAGCTATTTACGTTTATAATGTTACTATAAAAATCTTCCTAGGCTGTGCTACTAGTCATCTACTACTATTGAGCACAGTGGAGCTGTGCTTACCTTTTAATAGATTTCTATCCAGCACTTCCCAGAATGATGTTTGAATTTCACTGGTTCGTGTATCTTTATTCCTTTTAAATGACCTGTCATTTTTTTGTCCCAATTACATACAATTTCTATTACAACATTAATGTATGTGAAAATGCAAGGCGGCAAGATAATAAAACATGGTTTCTTATATATTCTAGAAATTTTAAATGAATATACAATAGAACACCACTAAAGCCATCCATGGAACCCAACTCCCATCCACCAGAGAGAGGCCTAGTAGCCTTAGGTCCATCCATTTGTAAGGTAGCGCTTAGAATTAGGGATGAATAACGTAATGCACAATTTACTACTAAAACTGAGCCATCAGCAACTGGCCTTCCCACGCACTGGTTTCTGTTCTTCCTAAGTGAAAACGCATGGTTTCTCTAGGTTCTTCAGCATAGAGAGCCTGGGGCAAAGTTGGAAATAGATGTCTGATCCTGCTTCAAGGGGCCCTGACTGACTAGGGGTGACCTTCTGGGGCTGAATGTCAGGAAGGCCAATCCAAGCTTTTCTATAACCCTACAGTGAGCTCACACAGGGCCCTCACCCAACGCCATCCTCTGCACTAAAGTCATAGATGGTAGTCATTTTTTATAATAATTACCAGAATCCTCAGGTAAAAGGTAACATAAGGTAATGTCAGAGGCAAGGCAAGCTATACTTTAAAGCAGCAGTCACCAACCTTTTGGACCTCACGGACCATCAGTGGTCCACGGACCAGCCATTGGCAACCCCTGCTTTAAAGGACACATTCTTCTTCTAAGTGGACAACACTGAAGTGCTTCACAAAGATGAAATTACCTTTCATCCCAAGTAATGATGAGTGTTTCACAATTCCATCCAAAATGCAAAACCAAGAAGGATCTACATCGACAAGTATACTCATTTCTGACTATCCAGAAATATCACGTAATCTTTGGATTCAAAAGATTATGACAGTTCTTCACAGCTGAGGGAGAGGACTCAAGCCTGGATTTGAGTTCTGACTGTTCACTATCATGGGTAACCAAGACAAGACACCTCATCTCTGCAGAACCTCATCTGCTCAACAATTTCAATAAACCTCTTATGTCCGAGGAGAGTTGTGATAAAACTAGATGTTGTACATACGTAAAACATGTTTGCATATTGTATACTCTACTACAAACATAAAGTGTTTCATAACAACCATGTGTTCGTGGTAAAGAGCTGTTTGGGCATAGCACACTTTATTTTATAGTAAAAAACTCAATTTAAGAAGAAAAAAATGAATAATAATACAAATCAAAAAGCATATCCAAATACAAAAGGGCTTTCACTGCAATACAGATAATGTATTATAGAATTATATACCTGACACCTGTATAATTTAATTAATGCTATCCCAGTAACATCAATTTAAGAAAAGAAAAATAAAAATAAATAAAAAACAACCACAACAAAATGAAATCCTATGTCAAAGTGCGAATGAGAGAAAATCTGTCTCCTATGGAAAAATTGACAAAGTTTATGGGGTTCCAGATTAGCTCTTGCAGCCAGGAATGCTAAACAAACATCATCTGCCTTAGTAACATGATGTACCTCACCCCCCAGGCCAAGCAAAATGTTATGTGAGCAAAACAAGTTTGATCAGAAACCCACTGAATACTACCAGTTTTTCTTCCCTTTGCTTAAGAGATGACAGTAGAAATTATTATGTAAAATGGTAAAATATTCCAAGTATGTGAATGTACTAGTGTTGAACTAATGAAAACCGTCCCTTGTAAGTAAGGACTATACAGATTAGAGTGGGAAAGATGAAAAAGAAAGGCTCGATCAGCCAGCGCATGAGGTCTCAAAAAAAAAAAAGATTTATACAGGTGAATAAAACATCATTTGTCTTTCAGAGATGGATAGATTTAGACAACACATTTCCCCCTGCTTAGAATAAGCCACATGAATACCAATCAGAATACCTTTGACTGAAGATTACTTGATAAAGAAAGTGACTCGGTCCTGGAAATGTTAAAATCCGGTTCAGTGTTGGTCTCAAAAGCGTCTAATTCATCCCCGCTGGGAATGCCGCTTCTGGAGGAGCTCTGTGACACAGGTGTGTGGCACAGGCATGCCTGCTCCGCAGGCCCTTCCCCCTCACTGTCTGCATCCAGGGCATCGAGGCTGGAACTGGAGCACAAAGTGAGCCAATAAATAAAAAACCAAGGAAGCCAACGGAGTTGGTTTCTATTTCTCTGAATTCCAATTCTTCATTGGTATGGAGTTAATGGTTATGCATTTAATTTCTTTTTCTTAACTTTTATTTATTATAGAGAGAGAGAGAGAGAGAGAGATAGAGAGAGAGAGAGAGAGAGAGAGAGAGAGAGAGAGAGAGAGAGAGAGACTGATTTGTTGTTCCACTTAGTTATGCATTCTTGATTAATTCTTGTATCTGTCCTGACCAGGGATCCAGTCCACAACCTTGACGTATTGGGACAATGCTCCAGCCAACTGAGCTACCCGGCTAGGGCCAATTTCTAATAAAATTTATACTGAAGTAGTTTTCACTGTTTTCCTTCCCCTGGATATCCTCATTTGCAACAATTTTGTTTCCCCCTGTGAACATTTCTACCTAGCTAAAGCCATTTCAGGTACTCTACGAAACAAAAGCTGGTTCAAGTTAGTGTTATCCGATTTCTGTTGTGTAAATGTGATTATGGCAAGCCCCAAATAGTTACCCTTCAAATATTTAAAAAAAAAAAAAAATGCAGACAAAACAGAGGCACAGGGCTGTTTGGGAGCAGTTCTGGGGGATCTGCATGTGAGCATATGCTGAGTGGCGTTCTCTCCGTGTCCCTGGCCGGAGAGCTCAGGGGGCAGAGCATTGGGAAGGCAAGGTGTGCAAATGTCTCACCCGGAGTTGCTGTCACCACCCAGGTCAGGCAGGAACTCAGTGAGGTCCCAAAGGTGTCATATTATCACTTTAGAAACGTTTAAAAATTATCCCATGAAAAATCCATCCCACAGGCAGGTAGCAACTCTGCTCAACTGTAATGCTTTTCTTTCCTCATTTAACTGTGATTAACCATGAAATTTAAAGGAAAGAATGTGACCTTCCACATTCCTGGCTCATTCCTGAACATTCACATTCTAAGCCACTCAAACTCTGAGGCCAACCGCTTTTACCGGCATGTTCACTGCACAGTGAATTTTTAAAATTAAATTTATTAAGTAACATTGGTTAATAACATCATATAAATTTCAGGTGTGCAGTTTATAAAACATCTGTAAACGCCATTGCTTGCTCAAAGCCTCATCTCCTTCCGTCAGGATACATTTAATCTCCTTTACCCTCCCCTGAGCCCTATCCCCTCTGGTAACTACTATTCTGTTGTCTGTATATAAAAGAAGAAGCAACAAATGAAAAAAAACAAACTGCATTTTTTAATGTATTTTTCTTTGGTTGTTACAGTTCTGAAGTTAAAATTTAAGCACAATATAACAAAACCATCTTGATTATGAAATACAACTAGAAAATAAAACTTTGAATAACTCATTTGGGTTATTTTTCCTTAAAAAACAAACACATAGGCTATTTAATAGTCACCTAAAATCAACTTAATAAATTACATGACACAGGGTCCTACATGTGTCTCTGGTCCTTGAACTTTTTCATGGGCCCTACTGGGCACCGGCAAACCTGGCAGTAAGTAAAGGTCAGGCCTGTCACCACTGAGGTTTCTAAAGTGGAATTTTCTCCTTAAAGAACACATTGAGCTCTAATTGGTTTGGCTCAGTGGATAGAGCATCAGCCTGCGGACTGAAAGGTCCCAGGTTCAATTCCAGTCAAGGGCATGTACCTTGGTTACAGGCACATCCCCAGGAGGAGGTGTGCAGGAGGCAGCTGATCAGTGTTTCTCTCTCATCAATATTTCTAACTATCTCTTTCCCTTCCTCTATGTAAAAAAAATCAATAAAATATATATACAATATTTTTTAAGTTAAAAAAAAGAACACATTGAGACCCTTCATTGAGAAAGGAGGGTATTGAGAAAGGAGGGTAAATTGGAGGTGGACTTAAACCTGAGACCCCAACAATAAAATATATTTAAAAAATAAAAAAAAAAGAAAGATCTGGGGGTGTGGTGGGAGGTCCAAGGTTTGCTGGTCTCTTGTGCCTTTGTGTTTGTCTTTCACCTTGTAATCCCTATACTAATGAAAATTAGTTCAAATAGTCAGCTGCCTGCAAGAGTGTCCTATTTTAGTACAAGCCTTTCCAGGTATGTACAGCATTTCTTCATCACTGCGAATATATCCTAGAAGGATTAGTGAGTATTATTTTATTTTGCATACTATACTTGAATGTGAGCATATGCTGAGTGGCATTCTCTCCGTGTCCCTGGCCTGAGAGCTCAGGGGGCAGAGCATCGGGAAGATGCTTTTTTCTTCATCTAAATTGGGTTACAATTTTTCTTTGTTAAGTTATTAATCTAAGATAGTCAATATTATAGACATTATTTTTCATAATTACCTCTAGCTTCTCATTTTATAATACCATTTTTCAAAATCCCATTAGTGGGCCTATGAAATTGATTCAATAGGTTGTGACCAGAATTTTCTTTTAAAATAGTATAGAGTAAAAATTACCAGGATACATTCCACATGTTATTTCATAAAAAATTTAAATTTTATGTGAATGGGAGAAGCAAGGGGGAGCTCATGGTGTGACAAGCATTTCTTACTGTGGAAAAACAAAACAAAAATGGTTTTAAAGATATACTTTAGAACAGAACAAAACTTGTCTTCTATCAACTAATTCTCTTGCTGTAAAGTTTATTAAGGTAAGTGCTGCATTGCTTATTTTCTCCTTGTAACTTCTTAGAATATCTATTAATCTATAATAAAAGCATAATATGCTAATTAGACTGGATGTCCTTCCAGATGTCCTTCCTTTCAGACAAAGCTGTGGCTGGCGGGGGCCGAGGCAGAGGCAACAGAGGTCCCAGGCCATGGCAGCGGCGGGGGGGGGGCTGGGGGGGGGGGCGGGGAGGCCCTTGCATGAATTTCCTACATCGGGCCTCTAGTTTTAAATAACATAATGGTTACATATCATACATACAGTTTTACTTTTACCAAAATACTGTTTTAAACTTTAGAAAGCCGAAACCGGTTTGGCTCAGTGGATAGAGCTTCGGCATGCGGACTGAAAGGTCCCCGGTTCAATTACGGTCAAGTGCATGTGCATTGGTTGTGGGCACATCCCCAGTAGGGGGTGTGCAGGAGGCGGCAGCCTATGATTTGCTTATTTTTAAAAAAGGGGTATAGTTCACTTCAAGTTCATTATCATTTGTATTACACATTCCCACCATGACACCCAGTGAGGGGGGTCCCATGGCCCTCCCAGAGTCAAAATGGGTCTGTCTGGGGAACACAAGTCTTTTCTTCTCATTCCTACGTTTCTCAGAGGAGACAGAATGTGCAGGAGACAGTGGCCGCAACCCTAGCTGGAAGGTTTTTCTCTCAGTACATCTTCCTCTTCTTGTCTGCCACCCTCGCCCACCATCCCCATCAGCTGTGACATTGTTACCGAGGTTCCTAGCTGCCTTTATTCAAACTGGATAATTTTTCTCATATTTTAAGATGGCAAAATTCTAGCGGCAGCAGTGAGATGTTTAAATGTGCCAGAACAGGACCATCATCAGAAAATGTTTGCATAAGCAGAACAAGAGACCACGTGCACCTTTTCCAACCTCCATTCCTAAAGAGCTCATTCACTTATAGAGACTGGATCACAGACTGGGAAGATCCCAAGGATCCCAGGAGAATGTACTAACAACACACAGTTCAACCTGTGTGTGCAGAACTGTATAGACTCTTGCTTTGACTGACTGGCTCTTGACACAAGCAGACATGTGGAGAACCCATCAACTTAACTTATAGCCATGACCACTCAGCATCTTTTAAACTATAATTCCAAAAAATACAAATCTAAAGAAAATATTTCATTATTTATATATTGGATATTACCCTTGGTAACAACACCTGTTGTAAAGTGTTCCAACCTCAAGTGCTTATATATCCGTGTAAAGTACAGCACAGAGGCTGGCACCTGGAGATTGCTGCTTCCCCTCCCCAGCTCTTCTTTCTGATCAATGAATCTCTGCTGAATACTTATTTACCTACGTATATATTCATTCATAGATAAATAATTATATATACACACATGTGTGTGTGTTCTACATTCATTCTGATGCAGATTTTATGTGAGAAAATGCATATAATCAGAGGCCTTGGACCTGGAAGAGAAAAATTAGCTATTATCTAGGGAAAGTGGACAGCAGAATAAAATGACATTAGGAGAAATTGGTCTATTTCCTAAAGAAAAAAGACCATGAACGGATGGACAAGAAACAAGTGAAAAATACAAACATGCATACGTATACACACATAAATATATACTATCATATCATATCAAAACCAGTTTCCTTAACTGTCTTACTTTCAAATCAAGGAATATAGAAACATTAGAGGACACATTTTTATGTAGAGACAAAATGGTGGGGACAATAGGAAATAAAATTGAATTTTCCAATTTTCACTACAAGGTTCTTTGGTTTTCTACATTTTTCCTCTAAAAGAGACTACCTTACCTTCTTTTCTTTAGATGACTCTGTTCCTTTTCAAACCCATGAAGACCAAAAGGAAGGTTTAAGTTGGAAGCACATGGACCAGATGGCGATGTGAAGGACTGTTGGGCTTCCGTATTTGACGTCACTTCCTTGTTCTCACCAGGGCTGGTTTCAGTGGGAAGGATATGCTTGCCGCTCTGAGATGTCAGAGCAGAACCCATGGATTCAGGGCAGGTGTCTGGAGTGATTCCCTCTAAGTTCATATAGTTAATATCCAAATCACCAACCTGGAAGACAAAAGAAAAGTATTTGCTAAACAAAAGCAGGACAGATACACTTAGCTAAGAATAAATTTCTCCCAATTTAAAAACCTTCCACTATATTTATCTTGTCATATTTGCTCTTGTTTTTGTTTTGTTTTCTATAAGCAGATAATTCTATCATGTTCGCCTGGTTGCTATCTCATAATTCACAAAAGGAAAAAGACCAACTGAGCATTTTAAGATTTTATGAACCACTGACTCAAAATGAGAGGAAATGCTTTAAATACTCAAGAAAAAATAAATAAAAACAACAACTAAGGAGCAGGCAGCTTGATTTAAAAAGCATTTTATAGGAATTTGAGTAAACAAGGTAGTGGTGGTCACATAAAATACTACCAAACAAAAATGAGAATAAAACTACAGAAGATGCATGGACTTAGCATAGCTAGAAGACAGAAAATGCTTCTTTTTCTCTGAGTCTGTTTTTGTTCATCAGTCTATGTTGTTCATCATTTCCTCTAGATGTGTGAGATCTTGTGATCTAAGAAATACCCTTGTTTAATGTTTTTTTAATGTATTTTTGTTGTATCTTAGAACACATAAAGACACAGTTCTCTTCTAATAGCGAGTTGTACAATTTTAGTTACTTGAGGTAAGTGAAAAATGTTACAGTGTTCACTGAGGTTTAGACCAAAATAAATAAATAAATAAATAAATAACTCAAGAAGCATTTCATTCAAATGCTTAGGAAATAAGGCAACAGAATAAAAGCAGTAAAATCAGAAAATGGCTAGAGCACACCAAGTCCAATTAGCCTGTATCTTCAAAAAATGTCCCCAGAACTCCTACTTTGTCCTAAACTCTGTGCTTCATACTATTAATATATTTCATAAACAGGTCCACATTCAGCTTCTTTATACCAAAACGCATACCAGTTTTCATAGCCTAATGTCCATGTCCTCATGCTCATGTCTCAGTCATTTTGAATATTGTCCCACCCTATGCATTTCTAAGATGCATTTGAGGTAATAGTGTTTTATAACACAAAAAGCAAAAAAGCAGAGATATTAGACTAGGAGGTGAAATTGAGATCTAGTAGACTGAAAAAAAAAATGTTTATTTCACAAAAAACATCTATAAGTAATAGGGTATAATTACACATACTAACAACAAAAAGGGTAAAATACCATATTGCTCAACGAGGATATATACGGTGCATTTATATGGAAATTAGGCTTTAAAGTTAGTGGATAAAACAGAAATTATGTTGTCAAAATTACCCTTGAATCCCTTAAATCTACCATAAATTAGAGTGTGCAGAAATCTTCTGATGGATAACTATTTTGGGGATGGGAGTGGGGTGAAGGAGGCCCATGGGGAGAATAATACTTTTAACATTAAAGACAAATTAAAAAAAAATTTAAATCAAGGGTCACTGAGCTTCAGAAAAGAATGGAGGATAAATCCATATGTAGATGCACAAACCACCTGCCTTCATGAGCGTTCACTCACAAATCTCTATCAGGGAATGGGCGGGGAGCTCTGAAGGGTTCCAGCTTCCCTGTAACACGACACCATTCTGCTTTAATATTAAAGCTCTGCCGCCTGTGAACAGGTGTGTCCTAAGGATTAAACCAGTAATTTCTATGGCGGCATCCTATGGGGCTGGCGTCAAGCTCTTGCTCTTGCTGGCTCTGAATACCAATACTGCTAGAGCAAATCACACACACCTTGTTGTTGTTGTTTTTGACAAGCTGCAGAGAAGAAATTGGCCTCCCAGTTGGCATTTCCTATGTTGGTCCCACAAAAGTGCTCTCACACCCCTCTCTCCGGGTGGTGTCAAAAGGCCCTCCCCTCGAGGTGCGCCTTGAGTAAGGTGTGCTGTGCTGAAGGAAGAACCTCGGTTAAATGCTCACATGATGAGACTCCACTATAGCCTCACCAGGGCTGCACTTGGGCTAAAACTTCCAAAGGAACACAGCCATGCTGAATCCATCTCTCACATGTTCGGGCTTGGAAAGAGGGCGGATCCTCCTGGGAACACCAGTCGCGCCTTACCTGATCTATCACCATACAGTTAGCATAGACTTCATCGCCGCCGTTCAGCATGTCAGAAAGCCCACTGGCCGCATGGAACGAGGAGGGCTGCTTGGACTTTTTGAGGATCTCACGGGAGCGATCTAGAGGAAAAGTGAAAACAGAAGAAATAAAGTGGAGGAACTTAGTTTACAGTCAAACTTTTCCTTCCTAATTGAACTAGAAGGAAAAAAATCAAGGTTATATTTTTTAAAGATGGCACTTTGCTATCTCCACTTATTCAGAACTACCTGCAAGTAATTTATTTTCTGCATCCAAACCTTCTCAGTATCTAAAACTGTCCTAAAGAATGTGCCATTCTAGATAAGTATATGCCCATTTTAAGCACTAGTTTGCTAATCATGAGAGATTTTCATAAAATCAATGAGATTTTTGCTTTCCATTTCTAACAGATTGAGCTAAAATTCACTTTATGAATCTTTTGGAAGCACCAGTGATTGCAATGTGACCCTCGGATGCCACTGAGGTGTCAGGCTCCAGACCCTTTTCTAAAGGACCCGAGATGGCGCTCAGCCTCGCAGTTCTGGCTCTGGACTGCCTGCTGAATATGCATATTCTCACAGACACAGCTTTGCTTCCGTTTCAGTTACAGAACTGTTTTTGCTTGCTTGTCTGTCCTCAGCTTTGTTCCAAATAGATGAGGTTCCTCCAAGAGGAGTTCCAGAAAGTTGAGGTGTTACTCTATTTGTAGGGAACAAAAGTTAAAGGCAATAAAACATAGAGAAGCCAGAATGCTTCATTGCTTGTGTCTTTCGCTAAATTGCTTAATCTCCAGATACCTTTACAGGGCTTCCTCGTCTGTAAAAGTAGATTATTATTGCTCTTCCTCATTGTATAGTTATGAGGATTAAATTAGTTTAGACATGTAAAGCATTTAACACATGCCTACGTACTTAGTAAGTGCTCAATAAACATTGTCACTACCATTATATTTTGTTAGTAGTGGTTTTAACCATGTTCAGTGTGAGGTACAAAGCCATTAGTGATGTACAAGGCCATTCATATTAATCATAGGGTGTTATAATAAATTATCCATATCTGTAAATTAATTTAATAGAATAGATTCAAAGTTATATCCATAGCGAATGACGTCCTCACTGACATTCCATTGAGTTTTCTTGCATGAGTACAAAAGGAATCATGTTGCCTTTATTCCATCATCAGAGATGGCACTTATTCCATGTCATAGTATTAATATATGACATGTCTTACCTATATCATGGCATAAAACCCAAGTAAACCCATGGAACTGAATCAGAAAAAAAAAATTAGATATTAATAACTGTTGGGCTGATTTATTATGGTAGGAATAAAAAAATTCTATTCTTTCATAGAAGGTCCCAGATGACATTACAGAAGTTATAAAGATATATGAGTTGTATGAGCCAAGTAGCCCTGGCTTCAGATCCTCCATCTAAATCTCTCTCTTCCCCACAGAACACCCAACTGAGAATTTTTATTAAGCTCCTTGAGGAAATATACAATGGAAATGTAAAACACTATCTCATCATATCTATCATGTCTTCTCCTATCAGTTTATTTATATAGCTAGCAACATAACACACAAAGCCCACAAACACTTCACAAGGGTAACCTTTATGATCAATTACTATACATTTTTATTCTAATTACACAAAATAAAAGCATGTTCCAAAGGTTATAAATCAAAAACCTGACAAAACCCTTTCACTGTGTTCTGAGGTAAGAAAATACTTGCTCATTTGTCATTTTACAGCATGTTAGAAAAACAATCATAAATAGCTCAACATAGTCCTCTGAAGGGTAATTAATCCAGCTTAACTGCTCTCCTGTCCTAAGTTCACAGACGGTAACACACCTGGCATGTCTGCCATCACAAGTGGGAGGCTGTGATGCCCCCTTTAACCACTTCCATCACTGCCGAATCAAAACTTCATTGATCATTAGACTAAGGAACTAGCAAGATATTTAATAAAACATCTGCAAATAATTGACAGATGTAATTGTAAAACAGAGAACCAAGTGAAAAATTACCCCAAATGGTCTGGTGCCAGTGTATGTACTGCCCAGCCATCCAACAGCCATATTCTGAACTACCAAGACAGCCAGCTCTGCGCTCACAACCGACCCTCACTTCAAGGATGAGCACGACCAGGAACCACTTCTGTTTACACAGACTCAGGTAAAAGTCAACTTTCCCTCCACAAACAAATCTACCTGGCCCTGTGTGGCAGGTCAGAATCTATAAGGAAATCATACCCAGGCAGAAAAAATAAACTCAAAGGTGGAAGAGTTACTTTAGTTACTTTGACTGAGTTAGAATCTAATTTGTTTTCTGCATGATTGACTTAATCAGTGTTTTGGAAAATGATGTGATTTATTTACAAGACAGGCCCATAATATCTTATCTGAAATTCTGAAATCCGAAAATCTCTGAAAAATCAAAACTTCTCCCCCCCACTCCCCCACCCTAAGTTTGGTTCAAAAATGTGGTGGCAAAATCTAACCTGAATCCACATGAGGTCATGTAAAGTCTCTATTTACCCCCATTCAGTGTGAACGGGCATACCTCTTCTGCAGAATTATTATCGTGCTTGATGATGGCATTGCCCCAGTGTTTCCAACAGGACTCATAGCATATATATTACAAGCACTACACCAAAAAATATGAACATTCCTAATTCCAAAACAAGATATATGAGTTGTATGAGCCAAGTAGCCCTGGCTTCAGATCCTTTGAAACAATTTTTTCTTTGAAACTCTGGTCCCAAGAGTTTCAAAGAAGAAATTGTGGATCTCCACAAAATTAACCATAGCTGATAGTAGACAAAGATTTTTGTCATTCCTCTACCAAGTGCACAATTTTCCATATCTATTGTATATCTCATTCTGTATTTTTCTATGCTCTACAACTTGTCTTTAGATTAACTCTCCTTTTTCTCTTTAAATAAAACCAATTTTCCAAGAAATTCCTGGCCTTACTGAAAATGAGAATTGTGCAAGATATTTAATAAACCATATGCAAATAATTGACATATTTAATTTTAAAACATAGAACCAAATTAAATACTACCCCAAATGGTCTGGTGCCAGTGTATAATAAAATAATAAAAACAAAACAGTGAAACTGCATTCTGACTAAACACAGTTGCCCGTGAGAGCTGAGCAAGTACAGTGCCTGCTCTTTGTCACACAGGGAAGTTCTGCAGGATTCAGCAATGTTAAAGATGCAGTGGCAACATACCCACTTTCTCCTTGAATGAGCAGTAAGGTCAAAAGAAAAGTGAAAAAGAAATATCTCTCTTACAATGTGATTCGATGTCATCTAATGTTAGGTTAAGATACCATCTCCAAGTCCGATGGAGCCCAGAAGAACTTACCTTACACTTTGGAAAACTTGCCTAGAGAATGTCATCATCCTGTCCACTAGGTATGGATGCACTAAGTCTTATGGGGGCTTGAGGGGAGGGGGCGCATGACAAATATAACAGTAACAAGGGGAAATCTGTCTCCTCTCTCGATCTGTCACCCACAACCATGTAGATTTGCTGGATTACTCATTGCAACTATTTATAAAATTGTCCCAGAAGTCCTCTGCATTATAACTGTCTGGGGCAGCCATGGCTCATGCTTGTCAAAGGACACCAACAGATAATAGGATCTAGAAGTGAAGAAACACTGACAAATCAGAAGATGACAGGCGTGTAAGACCTCTACTCTTTATTAACTGCAACATAATCACTGCAGATAATGGACTTCAGACCAGCAGAATAAGATTTATTGTGAAAAAAGTCTTTAAAGGTACTTTCAAATAAACATCAGCTACCTATATTAAAGTGGCTCGTTGCTGCACTATTTCAGCCCATTACAAAGAAAAAGCTACCATGGTTTTGTTTTCTTAAGAAACCTGATCTTTGTAAGATATATGATTTTATTGCTTCCATATGTAACCACTTTAGTAGCAATTTAAGTGAAAAATTATTGCCAAAAGAAGTCCTTCAGGTTCTTTTTCAATGAACCTATAGATGTAATTTGCAGTAAGAATCAGCTGTCTTGAATTAATGCTATTTTTTTTTACTTGTGGTGAGGAACACACAATACAATATATAGATGATGTATTACTGAATCATGCACCTGAAATCTATATAATTCTACTAACCAATGTTACTCCAAAAAGTTCAATAAGAATTTAAAAAATGAGTGAATGATATTTTGTAAATAGTTAACTCAACTCCCGTCCACATAGCTGCAAATTTTAAAATGATGAAGAGCAATGCATTGCAGTAGTTAAGAGCATGGGCCCTGGCCTGCCCAGATTCAAGGCCCCACTCAATCATCTATTAGCTGTGTGACCTTGGGCAAATTACTTAACCTTTTTGTATCTCCATTTCCTATGTGTAAAATAGGAATGATAACATGTCTATTTATTAGTATTGTCATAAGGATTAAATGATTTTTACTTTAAATGATTAGAACATAATCCGACACAAAGGAAGCACTAGGGAAATGCTTGACATTGCCATACAAGAAAATGAGGTTGTCTAGTTTTAATACTTCATGTAATTTCAATGCTTTAAAATAAATGTTTCAACCATGGTTATAACTTTACATGTTTAGAACCAACCCAAGGCAATTGGAACTCACAAAATATTCCATTTGCTACACTAAGAGCTAAAAAATAAAAATAAAAAATAAAAAAGTTGTCACTCTTTCATTTCTGGCTTAGCTAGTGTTAAGAAAAGCCCATCCTGAACACTGTAACTGATAAAAAAAGTCAAACTACCCAGTTAGAGTTACCTGCAACGACTCACGGGTGAGATCTCATGAAACAGGAGAGAGTCCAACAGCAGGACAAACAAAATATAAAGTCAAACCATCAGAGAGAGCATTTCTCAAGAAGAAAGGGAGGATTTCAGAAACTGCCGTGTTCTGACATGACGGCGTGGACCTGGGCCAGGTTCTCGCTGCCGAGCGCCAGAGGGTAAACAATGACTCCGAGGGGATCCCCAGCACGCCCCTCTCCCACTATTCTCAGGGCTTTGTAATGTGATCTGTGAAACCGTACCAGGACTCCCTGCAACAGCATTTTTATCAGCGCTCCAGC